TCGCCATAACACCAGTGCAATAAATATTGAACGTCAACATAGTGTTAGAAGTGAGTATAAAGATAATGGCGACAAAAATTGGCAAAATGGCAATTTCAAATGATATAATTCACAGTTGTCAATTGCTGACTGTGCGCTCTTTTTGCCTTCAAATTATACCAGGATGTAGTTGACATACTGGTGTAAATTTTTCAATTTCCAGAAATATTAGACAGTTTTTGGACAAAATTGGCTGTGCTTGACAAATTCAATGATAATTGATATAATTCGGGTAATGGGCAGTTGTCAATATTCAGTAATGTAATACCATCTGGGAATTCATTGGTTAAGAGAATTTGCCTGTTAAACCAGGATGTAGTGATGTTTATTTTCACATCTTCAGAGATACATGTATTTGAATTCATTATTCAAATGTGCTTGAGCAGTACTCGACATCACTTCCTTTAACAACATTGCTGGCCTTGATACCCAGACAGCACTGCATTTGTTATGGAGTTTTTTTGGTATTATGCCATTATCCTTATCGCAATCCCCATCTTCACCTCACAGTTTAATATCCAGATATCGGGCAGTGGTGGTTAAATTTTCTTTAAGGATTAAGGACAGACCGACTCTTGAGACGATAGAATCGTTATGACATAAATGGTAAATAACAGCACCGATCGATAGCAATTTTTGTTACTACTAAAATAATGGATGGTTGCCAATAATAATGTCAGATTATTTCATCCATATTTGACTTATCATGATATCTATTATTATGGTCTTATCTTTATTCTAGGAGATAATACACGTAGTTGTTGGAATACGGTAGATGTAAAATAAAAGATATATCGTGCCTTTCTTCCATGACGATGTTGATTAAGCTATTCTTGAAAGTAAGAAGTTGTTTGGTCACCATAATGGTGCAATTAAAACGCTGTTGGTCACAATATTCATGAAAGAAAGACGTCGTTGGTCAAAATACTCATGAAAGTAAGAAGCTGTTGGTCACAATATTCACGAAAGTAAGAAGCTGTTGGTCACAATATTCATGAAAGTAAGACACTGTTGGTCACATTATATAATATAAAAGTAAGACGTTAGTAGTCACAATATATATGAAAGTAAGAAGCTGTTGGCTACGATATTCATGAAGGTAAGACGATGTTGGACAATGTTTTCATGAAAATAAGACACTGTTGGTCACAATATTCACGAAAGTAAGATTCGATGTTGGTAAATTCATTATCATCAATTTCAGTATGCAATTAATCAAGACATCAAGGTAACAAATCAAAGTCTGTTGAATGATTACCATGACCTTCCTGTTGGTGAACAGCTTCACGTCAACATATATCTCTAATAGACAATCTTAATACTGCTAGAAATAAAGTAATATTTGTAATCTGACACAAATACCCAATCATCACGGTGTCTAATTCTTTAGAAGTTATTTGGGAGATATGGTGATAGGACAATAGGATGATATCTGTATGTTAATAAGTTCTAATTGAAAAGAGTAATAAATGAGTGGAATTACAGGAATCCTGGTTCAATCAAAGTTCAAGTATTTCACATGGTAATTTATGGACGGGGATAGACTTATTTGACCTTGCTTATAAAGTATCATTTAAAATTCGATACGCTTCACTTTTATCTGTTATGCCCTACCCGAAAGCAATCAGCTTGTGCCCTGTGCTTGTGACAGTTAAATTGTGCAAGCTATCACAGCCGACAAGTTTGATCTTAAATGTTTTCAACTAGTATTGATACAGGATTTTTGACTTATATATTGAATATCAACAAGTTTGATCATAAACGTATTTTTTATGGAAATTTTGCAATTTGTAGCCTGCTTTTGGAGTTGGATTGCTTATTCGACGAACAAATTTTACTGATGCAAGCATGATACCAATTTTTTTTCTCTTTTACTGTTAATGGAGTGTAATTTGGACACATTATTTATAGGCTGCTTATTGGGTTTTATTTTACGAGCTGTCAGGAATTAGCTTGTTTTTATATTGTGGATGTGAATGGAGGTGACGTAATATGACATGGAGAGGATGAGATCGATGTAATCTGTGGGGAGGTATACATCACAATTACATCAATTACTAGCTGTGTTGACCAATATCTTCAATATCTAATGGAATCAACATCCAGCTCTGACAAGACAAATAGTGGGCGGCTAGAATAACTGTATTTAAATCTCAGTCCAATGGTTTAACAACTTTACTTCAGAAACTAGCTTTATACATTATGTTTTGTCGTGATTAAGCATTTGATTACGTGATTTATATCACAAAAGGAATGACATCGTTCAGATTCCAGACTTTTATATCATCGTAACTTTGGTCCTTAACGTTATCAATTGTTGATCTCGGAAATTTAAACAGCGATACGTTATATTGTTTTATCTGTTAGTTTTGTTTGCGTGGAATATTGTTCAAGATTAATCCTTATTATCAGTTATTTTTACTGCAGAAATCTCAATCTTAATTTAATAGCATACTGTGATATTTTTTGTCTTTCAATAATCGTGACGTTTTCAAGCATCTATTATCTGTTATCTGATCGGAAATGTCTAGTTGAAGTCGTTTAGTGGACTGTTGTCGCAGGTATCAAGAATTTCAGAATTAAACTTGATCAATACAAAAGAATATCATGTCTTAAAGTGCTTTACATATTTTTGTGTCCTTGCTCGGTGTTTTGACGACACTATAGCGGATTGATTGAGAAGGTGATCACCATTAATTAACCCAATTTACTATTACTATCTAGAACTTATTAGAACTTATAATCTTGGAAAGATTTTAATGAAGATGATCTATAATTTGTGGTCAACGTCGAGAATATAATGAGTTAGAACTTGTTATTATTTTGTTGGTTTCTAATCTAAGAATTAAAATCAATTTAAATGTGGAAATAATAGGTTGAAGATCTAGATCTCGGTAAGTTGATTTCCTTTATTCAAATCTGATTGTAACCCAATTTGTATGCTTTTGAATTTGTACTAGGCTACTTTTACACCAAAATCTGTGATCCATTACGATAGTTCCTCTCATCCTTGTTTTTTGGTTATGCAATCAAAGCATTATTTGGTTCCCCAAAACAAACAGGTACGATGACTTTAGGGACAATCTGGAACACTCTGTTACCTACATTAGTATTAACCAGGTCGGCACAAATTTCAATTTCATAAGTCCTCTTTCACTTTCTCTTCACTTTGCTAAGTTCTTAAAAATGGTCAATATGAGTGTATTTTCATCAGTGAACTTACCTGGTGTCATAAACTTACTACAGAATCCCTGTAAAATCTGGAAAATTGGAAAATTTATGAAAAGTTTTTCAATAGTTAATTGCATATGTATGGATAATTACTAAGTTTTTTGGAATTATCGGATTAAAAGTTTATAACTTTTAAATTCTATGTTCATTCTAAGACGTAGTATTCCTTTAAGATAGTTTATTATTCGTAATATATTATCTGTCACGATGTTACTTCCGGTTGAAAATGCTTTCAGAAGGAGTTGCATGATTTTTCAAAATGTAAATCTTAATTTTCAAAAAAGAAAACCCAAATCGGTGTTGATTTGGCAGAAATTGATTAGAAGAGTAATATTTTTATGGAATCGTTATAGCATCATCATCCAGTTAAGACATTTGTTGGCGTCATTATTGTGATAACGATTTCTGGATACCTACGTTAATGTTGTTGTACTTTTGGACAAGCGTGACCTTGAAGTAAATGTACAATGTTTTTTGACATTATCTGTAAGATCTATCAATTTCAAATTCCAGTGTGCTTAATTTGATAAGCACGAAAGAATATAATGCTTAATTCGAGAAAGACCGATAGAATATATTGTTATTCCTTCATTTTATTGTCAACCTGTAGAAATTTAATCATGTTTACTTTAGTTTTCATGCAACTTGGAATTGATTGATTATCCTTTTAAATGACGTCTGAAACAACTATATTATCTAGTCAGAAATGAAATTGCGACATTCGTTATCTGGTATGATTCATCTCGGATGTTTCAACAAATAGGTTTTCAGATAGTACATGCAATCATGGCAATGATTTTGAACCATGCACTGGATTATCCAGCCCATACAAATTTATCGTGTCTTACTCACTATCAGATCGTGTCAAAATTCATTCGGTCCCAGGTTCAACTATCTGCAGATTAAGAACGCCCACAGACATTGTGACTAGATATTGCAATCTATACAGTCAACTGTGCTTGGCACTGCGGCAGAGGTCTATGGTACATAATAAATTCCCTGGTACGTTTCAAAACTTCCACTTATACTTCTACAAGACAGGCATCTTCTATGCTCTGCAAGACACAATACATAATTATATTTGCGCTTTGAGAGATTGGTGTAGAATTTGTTATTAAGATGCTGGTTGTCAACAAGATACATTAAGTGACTTAATTTTCATTTTATCATCGATACTTTTCTCATTCTTTTCATGTGTTTATTTATAAACATCATTTTTTTCTATTTCTAGCCACAGATATCAACTGATACTATAGAGGAAAAAATCCTATCATGGATTACTGTTAAGAATACGACGAATCATCAAGGATTAATCTAAGAAAAACCGGAGTTCTTGAAGATAAATAGTATTTTCAGACGTTGAAGTGCTTGTCAAGACTCGGATTGCCTCAAGGAAAATAGATAATGGAATCATTGTGAAATTATACAAAATTAGTGAAGGTTATTCCCAAAGATGATTCCTGATAAATCATATCGTCTAAATCATAACACGATATTTCAATAGGAAATTAGTCCAACTTTCTGAATATTCCTGGTGAATTATTTTCATAGTCTTTATTACTGAATTTATTATGAAGGCACCAGACTAGAACTTCATTTGATTTATAATGCTAAATACCTGTAACTGTACGAGATATCAGAAAGGGTGTCAGTGCTAAAAGTTCAAGCAAATTAATTGTTCTTTACAAATAATAAATATGGAGAGAATCAACACTATGTGTATAGAGAGAATGGCGGATCTGACAGGCGAGCTTACTTCTGTCATCCGATCTATTGATCCTTACGTTCATTTATGCCACAATTTGAGCACCGCCATTTATTCCAAGAGAAAATCCATGACGGTTTTAGATTTTGCTGAAATGTTTCCATTGGATGTGGCTGTTCCGGTATTTGGTTACGCATCACCCATAGTAATTTTGGTGACTTTAATTTTGAATTTCTGCGTGATCAAGGTTTTAAGTAGCAGTAAATTTCGCTCTCCGACCAATGTGATGCTAGTGACCATAGCAGTTTTAGATATCTTAACTGGTTGTTTACAGTTACCATGGTATATTCATACCTACAGTCTCCACGGTTACAGACAACTCCCGGATCAGTTCTGGTGTCATTCCTATTATTATCTGTTTCGAGTAACGCCTATCATTATTCACACTGCGTCCTTATGGTGCACAGCTCTTCTAGCCTTCCAGCGGTATATGGGAGTATCGCAATTACGGCGAATCGGTTGTGTTTTCCAATATAAAGGACTCATAGGATGTTTTGTTACAATCGGAGCCGGATCGTTCATAATCCATTCCTTTGCTTTAACCCTGGTGAAACTGGATTCAGTTCAAGTTATCAGCAATGATATCATAAAAGCAGATGGTAGTCTGGCGTACACCAACACTTGCGCCATTTCGTACAGAAACGCCGACTTCAGAATGTATTATTCACAATATTATGAATGGACTCGTGCTTTCCTAGCTCAGATATTGCCTTGTGTCATCCTCGGCATATTTAACCTTTTGCTAATCAGAATAACGATCAAAGGCTACAGATACAGACGCCGTTTAGTCCGAGGCAACAAAGCTGCTCAGAATAGAGAGCTAAGAACAACATTACGTATGTCAATCATGCTCATCCTTATAACCGGAAGTACCCTTCTAGCAGAGACGTTTGTCGCCATTTTACTCATTATTCAAACCTCACAAGAACATACTGAAATAGTCCTCGCTGATCCAACGAATGTTTCTAAATCAATGGTGATTTCTAACTTTTTGATATTGTTCACGTTTCCTTTAAATTTTCTTTTCTATTTCTTAATGAGTAGTAGATTTCGACGCCATTTTGTGAATTGTTATATTCAGAGAAAACATCGTCGTATTGTGCCTTTATTGGGGCAATCTCAGAACAAGAATGGAAATGATGAAGATGATGATGACGACGAAGACGAGGTTGATGCTGCTCCGCAGATCTCTCCCGTTCAAATGAACAATTTTCAGAAAGAAGAAAATTCACGCTACAATTATTCATCTCAAACCATGTAGGAATGAAACTAAAAGACTTAAATCCTGCATTTAAACCAATTGAAAGAGTATAACGTATTCTTTTAATAATATTATATTTTTACATTGAAAAAGATTTCCTCAATATTGTTGCAATTTAGGGCTTTATGAGGCGGTACAGGGTCCCCCTTGGAGTCACTACTGAAGCTGCATAGTTATGTGGATAATGTCGAATGTCTGAAAAATGAAAGTAAAGGAATAAAATAAACTGAAGTGTAAGAATTTATTAGAAATTCATAAGCAAATATAGTTCGGGATTGACAGTGGGTCGAGGTCGAACTGGCTTTTCACTTACTGACCGATATACCAATAAGTGGAACAAAGAATAATAACAAGTTTTTATGATGGTTTCATTTTTATTACTTTTGGCACAATATAATAAGTTTTTAAATTGAATTTACATTTTATTGCTTCGAGCATGCTATTGGGTGATTTGTTGAATCCGGTACAAATGTAAAAACTAGAGTGATTGAAAGTCGTGTTATTGAAATATAGACTGTACATTAAACATATTATGAAACGTTTTTGCAAATTCATCGTTCGTATCATTTACATAGCATTGTTAAAGGGATGTGGTCATCTAAATATTCAATTTGATTTGTGCTTGGAGGTAGCAAACGGTACTTTTCCGAATGAAAAAAAACCCACAAATACTGAAACTTCAAAAGCTAGACAATTTTGTCTATTTATGAAGAGGAATGCCATTAATGGTCAAAACAAATTGTTATCAAAGCATATGTCACTTACGTCTCTTCAAGAAGTTTATTGTTTTTATTCAATTATTTTGTAGCCGAATGTCAGATTAAATATCTAAAAATGTGCATATATAGACCAAAAAAAGAGTTAGCTATAAAAAGTAGTTGCCAACACAAATAATTTGAGCAATAAATACCTTTAATGTAATCCAGCTGAGAGATTTATTACAAATTTTTACACCATTCTATCATTACATTTGTTAATGTCAACAAAGTTTAATGTCTATACATGACATTTTATTTTTGTACTGTAAATATTTAATCATGAATTAGTGACGTCGTTAATATATTTATTATTTTAGTATTTACAAACTAATCTAAATTCAGCGAACATTGCATAAAGTTATTTTTACATTTTTATCATTGATTGAGGTTGTATATAACAATATAGCTTTATTTATTTGCACATTACAAATTTACTTGCTATCAGGTCTATTTTAGATCATTTCAATATTGGTTTTAATATTCTCATAACGGAAACCATTAATGGTGTTCACATTCAAATTTGTTTTCTAATTTACCCAGTAAACAAACATCCTACGCAAATTAACTTCCGTTTTTTTCAGCGTGTTTGCATTATCTATGAGTTTCCAATATTTGCTTATTTTAAATGAAAGGGCTTACGTCATTTCCGTAATTTATATTTATTTTTTAAGACGAATGTGACACCTCATTGACGATCTATTTAATTAAAGAGAGTGAAATGTACCAAGTTTATATATATAATATATAGATAACTAGAACCAATAATATATTCTTATCAAAATATCTGCAATGTATGTGTATATATATAGTTTAATTATTATCATAAATGTTGCTGTTTTGTTATTGATAGATTTATGATAAAGTACTGCTATTGTGTTTGACTTTAGTTTATGCATCAAGAGATACACTACATGGCCTATCATACTATAAGATATATTTTTATTTTAATACACTACATGTATTTCTAAAGATCATATTATTACAATATATATTGTTATACAATACATGTATTTAAAGAGTTCGTATTATAAAAATACACATTGTAATACAATAAATGTATTTCAAGAGATCATATTATCAAAATACATATTGTAATACAATACATGTATTTCAAGAGATCATCTCACGGCACATATTGTTATACAATACAGGTATTTTAAGAGATCATCTCACGGCACATATTGTTATACAATACAGGTATTTTAAGAGATCATCTCACGGCACATATTGTTATACAATACAGGTATTTCAAGATATCAAATCACGACAAAATGGTGCTACAATATGTGTATTTCAAGAGATTATCTCACGACACATATTTCAAGAGATCAGTTCATGTTACATACAATAGATGTGTTTTTAGATATATAACGATACATACAGCGATATCAAGCAATCGCAAGTTAACATTAGTTCAACTGGTACAGTCTCAAGTCTCAGAATTATCCAGTTGCTTACATAGCAGGAATGAAGCTTGTAATTAAAACAAATATGGGCATTGGATAGTCAGATAACGACTTAATTACCATTTTATTTTGTCAATATTCTGATCATGATATAAACTGTGTATGAATTGTTTTGATTGACAAGAGAATGTACAGGTTAATAAGTGGACATGCTGATTTAATTCTAGAGATAGAAAATCAGTTAATTATTATTTATAAATAATTACTCTATGGGTTACTGAACAGTTAGCCATTTAAAACTGACCACAATCTGGTGAATAGTAATGCACCACAACCTCACAACCCACACCCCCACCTTTGTCCCTCTCCCTTTGCCCCTCTGTAGCTACGGAAACTATCTTGTGCCAAACTGACAGACATGCCCAACAGTGACATTAGGAGTTCCAGAAAGGTGTGAATGCCTTTAGTAAATTGATATTGATGAATCTGAATATTTCACAGTTCCATATGCCTGGCAGGAACTTAATTGAATTAATTTAATCTCCAGTCAACGATCATTCAAAACACGCCGTAATGAACTAATGTTTCAGAATCAAATACCAAATATAGAAATAACAAAACGAACTATAAAATACAGAATGTTTATTTAGTTTGTATAATAATATACATGTAGATGATAATAAACTTAACAACGCCGCTTTGTAGCCATTCCTTTGCTTTTTAGTTCATCTAATAGTCATCTAATGCATATCTCAATCTATCATTCAAGCATAAATTGAAAATCTATTACCATAGCAAGAATTTAACCGAAAAGCTAATATTGTTTAATATGGGTTCCCTTATTTTCATTTAGGAAAATGAAAATGCTAATACTTATGTGAACGGAAAGTAGAGATGTTCTAATGACATGAAAAAATACCAGTTTGTCTCACATGTCCATAATTAGCTAAATTAGAAGAGAATTACCAGCGGAATTCAAATGAGTGACCGATCAAGAAAGGTCAAAAAGTCTTTTTTTGTTTATCCAGACTGTAAATACACGGACATTAATGATGTTAAAACCCTCTATTATATGCAATAAGAACATAAAGATATGATTAAGAATACATGATAATTCATTAGAAACATCAATTAATCAAATAGTTTGCTTAATTTGACACTAAAGAATAAGGAAACCCATCTTTAAGTTACGATGCTAAAATTTGAACCATTGAGAAAGTAAATTATTATGGAAAGGATTTCTGATGTTAGTTCATCAGAGTTGTTATACCCCTACGTGCAGGTTTTTGTAAGTTAATCCCCCACCCCCAAAGAAAAAAATGCTTCTCATTAATAAAGTTAAATAAAGCTGCAGGGTGTAGTTCCCTGTGTTACGTCTGCTACATGTTCATGCTCGGTTAATAATGTAAACTGCCTTGTTCTCATCGCCTAGTACTTGGTCTGAATCACTGTTTATTTCTCTTCCATTCGAGATTTGGTCCAGCTTACCCAATGTCCAGTTCACTGGTTATTCTTTCTCACCATTTACTCTGTTCTCCTCCAAATACAAACTGTCCTTGCATCCCGCCAAATAGTCCTCTCTCAACATGGTGTGCATAAATCGATAATGTCTAGCTTCTGATTTCCATGTCGCGAGCATGTCTTCCTGTAGTGTTATTTTTTCTAACATTTTACAATAGCCATCTTGTTGGTGAATAAATCTTTCCCAGATATCACCCAGCACACTGCAATAAATTATCATTATCGTTTATTTAATATTTTTACATGGACACCCTATATTTCCAAATGCCGTGGCCTGGATGAAGGAAGATTCATTCTTCACTTAAGAAAAGAAGAGCTGTTTTTCTCTTTTTGTGACCTTTGGTATTTCAACTGATAAATCTACAAGTGACCAAAGCAGAAGGCGCCTCTAATCACAGTGAGTGGTAGTCGTGCTTTTTCTGCTCATCTTAGTTGTAAGGTTTCACTCATGACTCGATTCTTATTTTGCATCTAGTTAATATTAATACTGAAAGATGGAAGATGATTTACCTATTTAACGAATGCACAGTTGTTCTAAAATGGTTATCAATCTTCTCTTCTTTTTCTTTCTTCTGGTTCTCAATTTCTTTCTCATATTTATCATTCTTCTCTTTGCTTTGGAAATGCGATCTGAATTTATTGGCGAGGAAGGTTTTCACTTTTGATTTAGATTTCTTATTCTCTGCTGCTTTCATTTCTTCCAGTTGTTCTTTCAGACGATTTAATTCTTGTGTTATAATTTCACTATTATTGTCATCTGGTTTGCCAAAAACAAAAGGACCCTGTATGTCCTTAAAATCATCCATCAGATCCGATTGCCACTTCTCTTCATCCTCTTCCATGGCCAATCTAATATTTTTTCTGAGGTTTAAACCTAGTACAATTTCGTTTCTACATTTTCTGTTTCTTATGGACATATCAATTCTCTCTCGCTCTTTTTCTTCTTTATATTTGTTTAGTTCAAACGGTTTTGATTTGGTTACATTAATGGCTACTTGTTTATCGCGATTACATCTTGAAAGCGCAGGCGCACTTTGTACTTGTCGAGCTGTTATAATAGAGTGTTTAACTGTTCCATAGCTCGCACCTACATTTTTCTTCTCAGTATGTAATGTAAATTCCTTAGTCTGTTGATTGAACTCAATTTTAGATATCTTTTTATCTGGATACTCATAATGAGAGTCCCTACTCTCCCGTACAATCGAAGGAGCTACCACCGACGTATTCACCATTGGTGTTTCAGCTCGTTTTATCCCATTTGTGATCTTTTCTTTATCCTGTTCTTGGCGAGGCCATGGTGGCCCCATTTCTTTGCTATCAGGCGATTTCTCCTTATTTAATCGTGGTTGTGACCTTTGTAGTGTTTTGTTGGGGGAACCAATGTTTCCTTCTTCCTTGATCTCTCGTAGCTTACTCAATTCGGATGCTCTTGTGTCTTTGATGTCCACTGGTTCGGGGTTATTGTACGGTTTTGGAGGCAATGCTTGCATTGGTGACCGTTTTCCCGATAAAACCTTCTTACCCAGTGGATGTTCGAATGCCACATCCTTAACCTGTTCTTCCTCTTCTCGTCTTTTAACTTTCTTTTCGTCTTCCAGATTGTTTAGCCGCAGAAGTTTTGATGCGTTTGTCTCCCGAACAACAATATCTCTTGGCGCAAGCAGAATCGGATCCGCTTCTTGGTAGTCCTCTGGAGACAGAAGACCAGAGAGATCTAGTCTCGGGACAAAATCTGGTCTCGGTGGTTCAAGTTCTATTGGAGTTGGTGGCAGAGATTCAGAAGATGATCTTGAATAGGGCGGAGAAAGAGATACTTGTCGCTGCGTTTTAATTTTGAATTCTTGTGTTGGGTTTTGGACTGGAGCGACAGGAGCTTTGATTGGAGCTTTTACTTGAGCTTTGATTTGAGCTTTTACTGGAGCTTTTACTGTAGCTTTTACTGGAGGTTTGATTTGAGCTTTTACTGGAGCTTTGATTTGAGCTTTTACTGGAGCCTTAATTTGAGCTTTTACTGGAGCTTTGATTGGAGCTTTAACTGGTGGTAATACCTTCTGTGTTTTTTGGTCTGGTTTCTCACTTTGCATCTGTAATTTATTCTTCCTTAACCGTGAAGCCTTGGTTTCGCGGACAACTAGGTTAACTTTGGGTCGACTCGGTGGCTTAGGAACTATTGCTTCTGGCAAAGGAACTTTCTGCTTTTTACCGAGGCTTGGTAAAACGGCCTTGTGATTTGCGCGTGATTCAGTCACTATATTCTTCACTTTGGAATTGATATCAGTGTCAGTTATGTTCGTGCATCCTTTCTGTACAGTTTGGATATTGTCAGATGTAGATGTCATGTAATCCTCACGACTAATTAATGATCCGGCTTTCAGAACTGATTCTTTTCCCAATTTCAGAGCCAAAACTTTCATTTGGTGAGGTAATACAACTTTTAGACCTTGTTCTTCCCATTTCTTCACAGTTCTCTGTCTTTCCTCCTCTTTCATTTTCCAGTGTTCCCGAAATTTCTTTTCCCTTTCATCCGCTATATTAACCTCGGGTCCACTTGGTAGCTGAGGAACTTTTGTTTCTGGCAAAGGAACATTCTGTTTCTGAAGCTTACTGTGACTTGGTAAATCGGCCTTGTGATTAGAATGTGATGCAGTCACTATATTCTTCTCTGTAGAATTGACAACAGTGTGAGTTATGTTCGTGCATCCTTTCTGTATAGTTTGGATATTGTCAGTAGTTGTCAAGTAATCCTCACGACTAATTATTGATCCGGCTTTTAAAACCCTTTCTTTTCCTAGTTTCAAAGCCAAAGCTTTCATTTGGTGAGGTAATACAACTTTAAGACCTTGTTCTTCCCATTTCTTCACAGTTTTCTGCCTTTCCTCCTCTTTCTTTTTCCAGTAAGCCTGGAATTTCTTTTCCTTTTCTTTCCATGTTTCAAGTTCGAGCATCTTCTTTCTCTTGTTTGCATCCAACTCTCGTCCTTGTGAGGTCTTGATAGGTGGAAGTCGTGTAGTTCTCATTGGAAGAGGGGAGATGACGACTCTGTAGGCAGTGGTAAATAATGAAGGATCCGGACTGCTTAAAGCACTGCTCATCTCGGATACCAATCTTTGTGACTTTGGAATAACACGAACCTGAACGGTATAAGGTTACATTATATAATGTATTTATCAATTTAAATCCGAAAAGATGGCGTGTTATATAAACGAGCTCTAAAGTCTAAGTTAAAAAAAGAATAGTGAATTACAGCTGTATTAAAATAAGAAGTTTGGTGGATGTAACTAGCAAGGCAAGTCATTATCACCCTTTTGGAGCACCTCATGTCGCTAGACTCGTTCATCAACTCGAGGACTCTATCAGCGAGTCCATATAGCTAATATATTTTTTATCTGTTATTTATAAATTCAGATGACAAGAAATCATATTTTACGCGTACTTCTGCACCTCGTGGAGCTAATCGACACGGGCGACCTCAGGAAGTTTGCACCTTCGAATGCCAACAATAATATTTAAATGTACTTTATAGAGATATATTTTATGCCATCCAACCAAGCATCGGTGATATGTATCAACCCATCGGGAGGAATGTTTTGTAAAAGTGGTCTCAACAGAGAACACACCTAATAAAATAACAGGATATTAAAACGCTTGAAATTTACCTTAGAGGAGGGTATAGTGGAATTCCAGAAAATAGTCCTCTTTTGATCAGATTTATCAATAGAAAACGCCTGAATTGATGCTGCTCGTACTGGCGACAGTTTATCAGCTAAGTTTGATGCTACTGATGGTCGTGGTGAAAGTGTAGCAGCTTCAGTTTCTCCTGGTGATCGTGTATCAATATCTGCTCGTCCTGGTGACTGAGTATTTATCACGGTCCATCCTCGAGTCAGCGCATCAGGTACGGCTATTCCTTGTGGCAGCACATCAGCTAGCGTCCATCTTGCTGACAGTGTACCTGCTACTGGTGGTGATAATGTATCTGCTACTACTTGTCCTGGGGATGGTGTGCGAGACACAGCTAGTTCTGTAGATTGTTCAACAGAATCTGTTGTATCAAATGACTGTTGAGATTCGGCATACTCAAGAGCATCTGATAATTTAGAGCAACACCTTCGAGATCTGTCTCGGTTCTGGACCGGCTGGTTTATCTCCATCTCTATCTGTTGGTTTTTATACATATAGGTATTCACTAGAATCTGGAATTGTATATATACAACGAGACGTGAATGGATTCTTTACTAGAATCAAATTGATAAGATTAATTAAGGTTGCATTGAAATAAGTAAATCCCAACCTTTTGAATGGGCTGAGAATTCTATATTTCATGTAGGCCTATAGATTTACTGTCGCCCTAGAAGCTGTTGGTGTTGAATAGTTGTTGGCGCGGCATTATCAATTAACTTAAATTAAATAAAGATTAATACCACTAAACAATAATAACAAACTTACTTGGAAGATTTAAACCAAAATCAAATAATCCTAGATAAATTGGATCAAAAATTTGACAAATTTCCTTAAAGTTTGGTTGTCCACAGTCTTTCAACTTAATAAAGCTAAGGAACAATTACGACGTTACTATGACGTCACAATGCTACTGCGGCGACGTTTTTAATCGGTTAATTTCGGAAGGTTTCGTAACCATACGGAAACTTATTTTATGTTGCTGTAGTATCCAAGGGCACAAATTTGGCATTTTTTACTGATTTTTTTTAACTTTTACTAGTTCAGTTATAAGATATTCTATGGAACAAAACAATTTGGTTTTAAACTTAAGTGTTCCGCTTTTCACGAAATGTAGCTGAGATATTGGTTGTGAGTTTTGGTGTACATTCTCAGTTTTTTTTACCCCATAAACATACAATTTTTACATTTAACTGCATTTGGCATAATAATGTTAATAACTCACCTAAAGATCTAGGTTTACTTTGTCTTTAAAGGATGAAAATATCAAATTTCGCTTAGAAATTCTCTGTGACTTTCTCTTCAAGTAGCTCCTTTAACTACTCACTATGTTGTGACGTCATAATCAAAATGCATGTTTTAAATTACATCAGCATATCAAGAGTTTAAATAGCTGTGGGTTTTAAATAACTGTGGTTTTTTTTTATTTGGTGAAATAATCTAGATTTTATCAAGTATACAAACTAGACTAGAACAGTTTAAATATTGATCATATTCGTTATGTTGCTAATAAAGTAAAACTTGTGTTTTGATGCCTTGGTAGCGCCAGCCTCCGAGACTTGTCTGGGGTGGGGGTTTTGGGGGGGGGGGGGGGGGAAGGGGGTGGGGGTGTCGGGATTGAGATTGCAAGGGTTCTCCAAGAAATTTAGACTAAAATTGGATGGCAATTCTTTCGGATTAAATTTTCAAAATCTGACTATATTTTAGCATATTCCGTCGACTCTTCGAACTCCTTAAAACACACCATTCTTCATCATTGATATCATCAACGTTAAATTGAATGATTAGTCTCGATCGTCAGTTATAGCGAAGACAGTGGTGGAACGAATGATGGTATTTGCATTATTAGCATTACAAATGATAAATTTTGTTAATAAATGGAATAGACCCATTACGATAGTTAAATCACGTCATCAATGTAACTTAATCACGTCTACAATTATCTTTCAGCACGTACTATCAGGACGAATTATTCGAGACATATTGATCTATGGCACGAGATTTCCGAACAGGAAGATGTAACATCCGTCCTCGATCGTTATCTGTTCCTGGATACATGTAATGATTTTATCTTCCTGGTGACTGAAAGGGTCCTAGGGTGCAGTTGCTATCCTACTATGTCATCTTACATGACATTTTAGATCAAATTGGAATACAGTATTTAAAAAGATGTGTCTGAATTCAAACAGGCGAATACAGATTTCTATTGTGAAAAACGATACGGGTAGTTCATCAAAATCCAAGCAACAGTGACTGGTGAAGTTGTGAACTACCAAAAAGGAATTTTATTTTATCAGATGGATATTCGTTAAAATATTTATCATAATTGATTGACCACACGCAAAAAATAAACAGATTTGTACAGAAAAACGTTTTTTTAATAATAGCAAAACAGGTATATTTTGTCAATGCACTAAGGTAGAGGTAGTTGTTGAGTTACCAGGTTCATTTTCATCAAAGTTCAGTCTTTTATAATTCTCTTTTAACACAGTAAATAACGGAAAACACACTATTATAGATCCTAGTAAAGTCCAGTTCATCCAATTTGTACCTGTAAATATATTTATAGGTGTTTATTATAGTCTTCATTGTAAAAGAGAATGCAGGCAATAGTTTACATTAATTCAGGTCTTATCAAAATTTGAACAAATTTTCGCTCCGTTTTACCATCAGCTGAACTGGTGAACTGTATTAAATTGAAAGATATTAAATATATATTCCTTACCAATATTGGGTATCATTAAGACAGAGAGAAATATAATACCACCAATATTATTCATCATAATCATCAAACCATTGGCTGTTCCTTCACCAATAGGATAAGCTAATTCACACGCTATTTCATACAATAATGGAATTGCTGCATTTAATGGTAATACACTCATGATTGTCGTGACATAGAATATAACTGAAATCCACAAAAAACTGGATTAACGACCAGAGATGGTATACAGTCGACTTGATTTCCTCTTCCACCACGCAATCGAACATACTTTGCAGAATGAACATCCCATATCGGGTTTGTTGGATTACACTTCCATTCTAAACAATTCATTGTCCCCATTATCTGGGTTATTTTTTTTTATTGAAGATGGTTCACGACATAATCTATTTTCTGTTATTAAAACATGCGATGGAGTTGATCTTTTAGAAATGAATAATGATGAACTTAGAAATATAATAACATGTTGTTGTTATTTCGCCTATTGTCAGCTTGAAGTATTGATGAACTTGTATTGCTTACCTGTTGAATAAGGAACAAATCCACTACAAGCTAAAGCAAACCACAGGGTAAAAGCTGCTCCAATAATGAATAATATAACTATAATTAGCTTTAAATGTTTACTAAAATTATCTGCAATTCTAAAACATAAAACATGATGACAAGCTATTATATATATCTGTTATATAGTCACTATTATAGACTAATAATGTAATTATTAAGGTGAACATTGTCGAGTGAGGGGATTAATTCATTATCTTTAAACGATCGTTTAGTTTGAATATTCAAAGGACTTTTAGGTGGGAATTGGTTTGGAATGCCTAGATGGACTAATGGAGAATACTGGATAATTTCGGGAATAATAGAGAATTCGGGATAAATTTGGGGATGAATGGAGATTACTGGATAAATTTTGAGAATACTGGATAAATTTTGAGAAAACTGGATAAAATTTGAGATACTGGATAAATTTTGAGAATACTGAATAAATTTTGAGAATACTGAATAAATTTTGAGAATACTGGATAAATTTTGGGAAGACTAGAGAATACTGGATAAATTTTGAGAATACTGGATAAATTTTGGGAAGAATGGATAATACTGGATAAATTTTGGGAAGAATAGAGAATACTGGATAAATTTTGAGAATACTGGATAAATTTTGAGAATCCTGGATAATTTTGGGAAGAATGGATAATACTGGATAAATTTTGGAAATAATTTTGAATACTAGGATACATTTTGGGAATAAAGGAGAATAATGGATAAATCTGGGAACAATGGAGAATACTAGAGAAATTTGGGAATAATGGTGATTATTTCATGTATATTTCTTGGGAATAATTTGGGAATATAATATACATTTGTTTAGGAATAATGGAAATGCTGTAGCTGTGTTTGGGAAATTCTCATTAATAGAAAGCTGGATGTAATACGATATTTGTGAGAAATTGTAATAATACTGAAAATTATTTATTATGTATATTTAAAGATTGATTAGCATAAGGTACCTTGCAATGACAAGAGAAGCTGCACATGCTCCGAAAGATGCATAGAAACCAATCCAACCAGCTTCCGTCTGTGAAATTCCCAGTGGTTGTAGAATTAAATTAAGTACTCCTGCCCAGACATTAGATACACCCAGCGCTGATCCATAGGCTATTCCTACCATTAATATGTTTCTATTTCTAAATATATAATTTGAAAACTTTTTGATTCTAAAACAATGAGTTCATCATTATTACATTTTTATTTTTTAAAATATAACATTGTTCCCTGATGTTAGCTTCCTGTTGACTGATGTTACATGAGTTAGCTTCTTACTTACTGATGTTACATGAGTAAGCTTTTTATTCAATGATGTGGTAGCTTCTTATACACTGATGTTAAACGAGCTAGCTTCTTACTCATTGATGTTACACGAGTTAGCTTCTTACTCACTGATGTTGCATGAGTATCCTTCGTACTTACTGATGTTACACGAGCTAGCTTCTTACTCACTCATGTTAAACGAGCTAGCTTCTTACTCATTGATGTTACACGAGTTAGCTTCTTACTCACTCATGTTAAACGAGCTAGCTTCTTACTCATTGATGTTACACGAGTTAGCTTCTTACTCACTGATGTTGCATGAGTATCCTTCGTACTTACTGATGTTACACGAGCTAGCTTCTTACTTACTGATGTTTCATGAGTTAGCTTCTTGCTCACTGATGTTACATGAGTTAGCTTCTTCAGACTGATTTTATGTAAGCCTCTTACTCATTGATGTTACACGAGTTATCTTCTTACTCGCTGATGTTACATGCGTTGGCTTCTTACTCGCTGAAGTTACATGAGTTATCTTCTTACTCACTGATGTTACACGAGTTAGCTTCTTACTCGTTGATGTTACATGAGTTAGCTTCTTACTCACTGATGTTACACAAGTTCGTCCTCGTTGATATTTTGTGAGTTAGCTTGTTACTCACTGATAAGACACGAGTTGACTTCTTGCTCACGGGTGTGTTACACGAGTTAGCTTCTTACTCACAGACATTACATGCAAAAAACCAAGACAGTTTATACTTTTTGAAAGCTTGTAGTTTGAGTTGGATATGGAGAATGTTTATCAAAAAAGCACACATGAATAAAGCAGGACTATCTATAATTATTCTCTTATTACCTTATAATTTCTTTTAATCCTTGAATAAAGTTTTTTCTGCTAACTGAAGCTGATGTACAGGGCGGTAAGGGTGGTTTCTTAGGGAAATATATTAACATCAATAAGAAGACACAAACCACTATTCCAAATTCTGCAATAGATTGTAGATCAGTAAAAAGACTGTCGATTCTAATCAGCTTCCAATGGCTATAAGTGTATATGTAATGATAATGATAAATACTCATTCAATGCCTGCTGCCCCACTGGAATTTGTCAGGCGGCACTCTGGTAAACTCTTTCACCTTTACCGGTAAGATGCGATTTTGATTATCCATAGGAGTTTACAATAGAAGGTGGAAATATTTCTTTTTAGAAACAGGATCAAGTTACAAACATCAGGATCCTGAACAGGCCAATGCCAAATTTAGAAGAGATTTACAATAGTTACACTGAATGAGGTAGAAATACTTACCAACAAACATAAGAAACTGAATATCTTGTCTTTCTGTTAATATTATATCTTCACCTTTATAATGTAAAAACATAGGTTACTTACAAATTTATCAAATTTAATGACCAAGCTAAAATGAAATCTATACCACCGAAACGCATCAATACTTTAACCGGAAGTTTTTTATGCGAAAGTGTGTAAAATGTTGATCTATGATTGAAAAGGCATTAAATTTTTGTACTTCCAGTTGGCTTGGTTGGTTGGATGCATCAAAATATTGGTATATCAGTCTATAATCTATACGTAAACTTACTATCGTTGCTTTTGAAGTGACTGGAAAATAAGAATAAATATAATGTTGCTTCTTTGGGTTAATCTATTAACAGCAGGCTGCTGTTTCTGCATCTTCACAATTACGGATTTCTATTTGGAAGAGAGTACCAGTGGAGGTGGGGAGGTGAGGTGGTCCTCCCCCTGGAAGATTTGCTAATCTAGGAAGTGGTTGAATGTTTCTAACGTGATTTTTTAGGGTAAAATTGACACGATGTACATGAAATTGGAAAGCAGTGGCGGAGCCACAGGGGGTGGGGGGGGGGGGAATTGAGTGGCAGGAGGGGCAGCCGCCCTCGCAGCCCCGAAGGCTAGTTTTTCGGGCAAGTCCCCCTGGGACGTAAACCTGGCTCCGCCACTGGCAAAACTCTCATAACTAAGTTAGAAATTCGGGCGACCTCAGATATCTCGCCCCCTGGGACGTAGACCTGGCTCCGCCACTGTTGGAAAGGTACATGTCACCATTAAACTCTATGATTTCTTCAAGATAATTATGTTTGTTCAGCTCACCTATTCTGATATAGTGTGAAAGAGTGAGTTGTATTTTCTGTTGTATTATGCTTGAAAGTGGGCACCAATAGAGGACCTGAAACAGATAGACAAGTCATTATTTGACCTAAGAGTTAAATAAATTGGTTAATGGACTTGATCAGTATAAAGGGCACTATCTTGAATGTGATTAATCAAGCTTTGTAAGATTAAATGTCAGATTTGATTACACTTCAAGGTAAATTTACACATGGAACGTCATTATTAAAATCAGTATTATTGATCTTAAATGCTACCTAACTTGACTTAAGTACACAGTTAGTGTGATGAATTCTCACATCTATTAAAAATCTTGCCTGGTATTTTCTGAAAACCGACTCAAAAAGACTGATGAAATTGTTATTATTGAGAGTGTCAGTTGTCTTCAGCATCTTTGTGATCAGTAGCACAGTCGTCAATGTCAATTTAAATTCTCATCAAACTCTTACTAAGACCATGCTAGGGATAAACTTAAGGACCTAAACCCTGATGGAATCGAGATTTTTGTTATCTAAATATGTTCGATTCAGACAATGAGATTGAGATCATCATCATATTTTGTTATGAGCGAATTTGAGTAATGACCTATTATATTTAAAACTACTGGTGTCACTGACATCAAACAGGTCAAATTGTATTTTTGCAAATTAACCCCACACCTCATACAAAGCTAAAAACATACCGATTAGAAATGAGCCAGCCAGTCCAATAACATCGGGTATTAAAACACCAATAGCAGTAGCTGTTGTTCTTTCATTTGGTGGAAACCAGGTCGATGATATGACAGGAGATGCTGACATTGCTACAGCACCAGCACATCCATTTAACAATTGACCTAGATGCATCATCCTACAAATTTATGAATATCTTTTACTGAGCATCTTTATTTACCAAAAGTGTAGGAATTGGTTAGAAGATATAACGCTTAATGTAGCAGGCTTATATTGTCGTTGCCAATTTGGATTTTTCGTCTAAGATTTGGTTGTACATCTGTTACATTCTTTAAAGCAGGATGGCTAGATGGGATACAGTCAGTAGCAGGGTTTGGCTGTTAAGCTGACACGTACACAATTGCTGGTTCAAGCTGCAACATAGAAGCTCGAAATCGAATATCATCAATTGGTAGGATGGAAATACATCTTTGGAAACTACATTTTCAGGAATATATACCAAATTCTACAGACCATGTGACCTATTTCGTAGTGATGATCTATTTGCTTATACATTTCAGCTTGGTCAACCACAAAAATTAGAGATTCCACTACCAACAGAATGAAAGTCTCGTTGCCTAACGCATCTGTTATGCGACAGAACTGGACAAGTCTTACATTTCAGAAGTAGTCTTACCATGTTGAGATTGGTGGTGTCTGTGAAATACATCTACAACCAGAACCCAGCGTTATACAGAAACAAGATATAATACAGGCAACTCTAATACCTGTAAAAAATTTTTTTAAATAGAACAGTAATCTCATTATTAAAAAACATATCATTCATTTGTCACATCAGGAATATATTGCAGAATCCACATTCGAAGGAAGGAAAAGAATAACGCGATAATGCGATCTTTCCTGGACATAGGAAAATTGTTATTGTGTCATATTATTATTCAGGTATTCGGCCAGGGCCTGAATGATACACATCAGTGTCACAGGACTCATTGGACTCAAAATGCGGCAGTAAATACTCTGTTCAGTTAACCTTTCAAAACCTCTGACCTCACCTTTTACGTCTAGCAGCCATGAGTAGAATATCACAGTTATACAGATCATAATAGGTCCCCAGTTGGCAAGTAAAGCTATATCAGAATCGGACCAGTTATAGGCATGTTTAGCTGTATCAGATATTGGTCCCCATGTATTCCATACTAGATATTGACAAGCAGTGAACAAAGAAAATACCATCAGAACATACCATCTTGTTTTATATAACTAGAAAAAAGAACAATCGAATGGATGGCGGTTTCGATTGATCATATTGCATTTGAGTAAGGCTCTGGAACTGGCGTTCAAAGGATTCAAAGTGAAAATAACCAAACTTACATTAAACTTTCATTGTACTACTATCAGTATATCAAATCACACAGCCGCATTCAAATTCAGACTTTTTTCTTTGCCTTGTTTTCTATGTATTGCCCTTTTACTTTTTACTATACACTACTGTGTTTAGACAAAAAATCAGTGGTTCAACTAATTGAGTTTGGGCCTGTGGAATTAAGTTTTTTTTTTAACATTTGCTGTCCCGAATTCAGAGACCCCTCTGTAAGTCAATGAAATGCCCGTTTATGGAAGATTTAAAGATTTTCAGTCTGTAGATAATGCTATATCACTCATCTATATGTATTTATTTTAATTTTTTTTCTGGAGGTGGTGGACCACGGCCACCCTCCCCCCTTTAACGTACCATGGTGGTTGAGTCACTGCCAACTATACTTACTAACCTTAGTTTGTCTCTGATGAATAATAGTAATTTCAGATTCATTCCCTCCGCTCTTTTCTCCGATTTCAGAAAAGTTTTTTAAACTATCTTGTATTGAGGTACCTGGGTTCTTCCTTTTGACTCTACCATTTGATATCAGATGTGATCTCTCGTTATTTTCCTCGAAATTGTCAATTTCTTCCATCATTTTGGCTAATTAGGTGTACTGCTTTTTTTTCAAAATATGAATTACACTGTTATTCACAGACTATGCTTTAATCCATGCAAAACTGTCAGCAATTTTAAGTATGCAAGACATCTTAGTTACATCCTAAGTCCATTATTGCTCACACAACATATTTGTTTACAGGTGTCATTCACCGATTAGACTAAATGTAGTACATAAGTAGTAATTATCATAGTCCCTAAATAACGATGGCTCTTGATATAGATAAAATTTAAGCCTATCATATCAATAGTTTCTGTATCGTGTCAAAGGACCAATAAGTAACGTTCACCTTCCAGATATCTTATCTCAAATTACCAATGGTTTAGACACATAATAAAATGGTTCTTATATAACAACAGCTTATTCGATAAATTATTAAATATTATGATAAAGCGGATTTTTTTTACTCTATGAAGCTCATTTTATATATTTCGAGTGGCGTTTGTTATAAAGCTCACACAGCTCAATTAATAATTTCCGAATGGCGTTTATTATAATATATAACCCAGCTCTTTTAATATATTTCTCGAGGAGATTGTTATATAACCATTTAGCAATGGTTATTATCTGCATCTCATTTAATGTACTTCTTGCAGTGATTATTATCTGCATCTCATTTAATATACTTCTAACGATGGTTGTTATCTACATATCATTTAATATAAGTCTAATGGTGGTTGTTATCTACATATCATTTAATATAAGTCTAACGATGGTTGTTATCTACATATCATTTAATATACTTCTAGAAGTGCGTTACATTCATCTGTATATCTTCACAGATAAAGAAACAAAAAAAATTCAGAAAAGTAGTATTAGTACTTTATTGCATTTCTACAATACACACTCTAGATATAAAAATGACAGTATATTGTTGGCGGTATCAAGATGAAAGTTCTCACTTTGCAGTTACAATCCTTCCTTCTAAACTATAAGTATCTTCTTATTTTCTAGATAAATGCTGAATAACATTCTAAAGCAATGATAATAGAATTACCAAAACCAAGAATCAACTACAGTGTTACTTCATTACTGATGAAATAATAATAATAATGAAACTATTATATAAATCCTAATCATTAGCCAAATTCAAAGATGTCACTGACAAGTTTGTAATTTTAAAATGATCAGGGTAAATAACACAATTTTAAATTAAACAGAATTTAAAGAATGAACTTTACAATGTAGTAAATCTTACTTTTACTGGTAATTATGTAGCAATTTATATAAAATATGAAGCAAACTTTTCTATTACACATTTTTATTGGTTTTTTGATAATGCATTGAACTTAAATAAATGCAATTGTTTATACCATATACCTGTAACATTGAATTTACACTATTTTTGATGCTAGGAAACATTCTCTTTGCCAATAGCACTGACAACTATAATGGCACTAAAAACAGGTTTTTTTCACTGCCTAAATAGTCTGTGGTCCAGGAATATACTATTATTATCATCAAATTCTCTTTGACTGTGATCTTAATGATTCCTCGTAAGCTTGAATAGTTGCCTCTAATTCTCCTTTACTTGTAGCATGTGCTTCCTTTGAACAATATTGCTAAGAAAAAAAATTGTAATGAATTAAATCGGGGCTGATGACATAAAATGTGAACTTCTTTGTTTATTTCAGTTTATATCTCTATGCACACAAAAAAATGTCATTTTTGGTTTAAGCTGCAAAAATCAATTTGGCTTGAGGTTAATTTGAATGTACTGTTTTAAATACACTTTGAGCAAGATCTAGACTGACAAAGAATTGGAGAGAAGTTGTTTCTAAATTTAAAATGACAATACTTTAAATGTGCTATTTTAAATACAATTTGGACAGGATGAATACTAACTGATAATAGTTTCAAACTTTAGAATGCCTAAGAGTGCAAGAGGGGAAAACAGAACTTTGTGGCCATCCAGTATCCATTATAACTATTTTGTTTTTATCCCTCACTGAATAAACATTATAAAAAAGTTTATAAAATACCTTAATGATATCTATTGGATGTTGTGGTTTAGATGATAGACAGAATTTAGCTATGGAACTTGTTGGATGTAATATAGAATATAATCTAACTAAATTCTCACCATCATCAATCCTACAAAAAATTACTAATTTTTAATACTAACTATAGCATTGGAACTCTTTTATAACATAATTTGCTTGGTTACATCACACAAATGGTGGCCGTGGGTTCTAATATCAAAATGTGTGTGAAAGTCTGGTGTTAAGGATAATCCTGGAAAGATCAATGCCAAATGGTTTGAAAGACAAGCTGATAGCCAGGACCTTATGAATCTAAGTTGTAACGTAATAACATTTTGTTGTTCTCTTATACCTTTCAATTGACTTTATCTTACTGAATTAATCAAAAGGGACCGTATGTTTCCAAGACTCCCTCAAAAATAAAAACCCCCAAAAAAACATAAAAAATGTCAGTTATCAAATGAAGAAAATAGCAACCATACTGTCTACTTACAAATTGAGTTGTAACATATCTATCAATAAATATTCTATCTTTTTATACCATGCCAAATAAAATATTAAAGTCCCAAAATGTCGGGTTGCTCTGATAACATCAAATAACCTTTCACTATTTATAAATTCATAAGCTCTGTGTGTTACCTGAAAAGATGACAGAGATATTAATTAACTTTCCAAATGTTCTTTTGGTGACTTTTTTGTTTGTTACAAAAAATTCTCTCTTGATCTAACACCTTGATTATCATAAAATCCCTGTTGATCCCTGATGATCAGAAAATCTATCCTGATGATCTGAAAATTTACTGTGATGATCTGAAAATTTACCTTAATGATCTGAAAATTTACCTTAATGATCTGAAAATTTACCCTGATATGAAAATTTACCTTAAAGATCAGAAAATTTATCCTAATAATCAAAAAATTAACCTCAGAATCAGAAAATGTACCCCTATAATTAGAAAATTTACCCTGATGATCAGAAAATTTACCCTGATGATCAGAAAATATACCCTTATGATAAAAAAATTAACGCCTATAATCAGAAAATTTACGCTAATGATCTAAAAATTTACACTGATGATCAAAAAATTTACCCTAAAGATCAGAAAATCAACCCTAATAATCTGAAACCTAATGATCTGAAAATTTACCCTAATGATCTGAAAATTTACCCTGATCATCTAGAAATCTACTCTGATATTCAAAAAAAATTTATCCTAATAATCTGAAATCTAATGATCTGAAAATTTACCCCGATGATCAGAAAATCTTTCCTTATGATCTAATATGACAATTTATCCTGATAATCAGAAAATTAACCCTGATGATCTGAAAATTAAGCCTGATTATCAGAAACTTACTCTACTATATCAGTGATTGATACTTACTCTAATGAACTCTGGGTCATCCGGTTCATACTGTACAACAGCTCTGTCTAAAACATAGATAACTTTACCATCATTTAATACTTCCTACAACACATATCAAATCAAAGTTATCATTTATTAAAAATTCAACTGAAAGACATTCTAGAAATAGCATCCAAAAATAATAAATATTTATCATAAACACAAAATTACCGCAGGTTTACCAATGATATGCTAGTTGGTGTCATGAATCTTACAGGTATACTATCGGTACCTCTAAGGATGACCACAAAATTTGAAATCTGTTCAACTTGATACAATAGAATCTCTCTATAATCCAATAAATCAATAAAACTGTAATAGTTCATTAAGATAAGTAATTTTGAAATAATAAATCTTTTTATCTATATAATTCATAATCATTTAGTTTAATGGATATATCCTCTTATATAGAGATTCTATTCTTAAGTCATGGCACCAGGTAAGTCATGAATATGACTGATGAATATAAACACTTGTTGACCAAATTAGAGGCTTCAAATTTTATATCCATTCTAAGAGGTAGTATCTTTTAATATCAAATGCAGAAATTCCAATGATAAGAATGATCTTGGCATTATCTATCAATCAGTGCATTACAACATTTTTTTCTAAAATGACTAGTAACTTACATCCAACTGTTTTTCTTCAAATATTATAGGAGGGTGAACAAGTCGGCCTTTTATAGGATTAACAACAAAGTTTAATCTATCTCTTTCTTCCCAATCAACTTTCCTTAACTTACCACTGGGTTCTCTGATTGTCATAAATCTGTCCTACAACACAAAGATTTAGCACTTTAACTTATTGGTACAATTTACAAATTGTTGCCTATGGTCTCTACTCTAAATAATAATTTGACTACATCAAGTAATTTTTTAACCAAAATATAAAAACTCATAAAATACTTGAATGAAATATCTCCACACTGAATCAATCAAAATCATAACTTCCTGTCCTACTTTTCTGCACTTGTTTGGACTTAGGAACTAAACCATGCAGTGTGCAATGAAGGAATCAGCCTATTAGTTTTCCAATTGTTGAGGGATCTTGAACATTCCGACAGTAAAATCTGAAGGTATTATCTCAACCCATGTGAGATTGAAACCTGTACCTACAGATTTGCTAACTGTCCTAGAAAATTTTACAAGACAAGCAGGGTTTACTCAGAAATAATATTGACAGTTACTTTACCCTATTTATAAAGCCTGCAGATATATCTATAAATGCCAAGTTAGATGAATCAAAAGCTTCTAGCTGTGGATTTTCTTCTAAGGTAACATCTATTGATTTCCTTTCTTCCATAAATGGTACAAATGAATGAATTTTTTTGCAAACCTCTGATGTTCTTTTGGCATGCAACTAAAAAATAAACAACAAGTATTTGCAAAGACATGACAGTTTATGTGAACAAACTAAAGTTGAAAATAGTATTTCCAGAGATAGCTTTGATACCAGTGGCTAAATGAAATCCAACACTGGGATAACACTTCATTTACAATCTCAACAACAAAAAATTATGGCATAAAGGTCATTGTTCTTCTAAAAAATACATATATGAAAACATCATAGACATTTGCATTGAACAGAGACAGAGCTTCTAGATTTGAAATAATCTTAATAATTACATGTACAAAGTGAAAGTTTTTTTCTTTCACTCGCTATACCGAATAAAGGGATACTGTTTGCAAACATATAACCCAAAGCTTCCAAAGTTTTACTAATGAAATCTCCGGATTTTAGCTTGAAGTCAAAATATTCTTTTTTTTGTACTTAGAGGAGCTCAATATTAGCAAATATACAATTCATATTTTCAATCTGTCATTCACAAGAATAACTCAGAAAATAAAAGAAAATTCTACAATAAAAGGGGTCAGAGAAAATTTCACTCAGTCAAACCTCTTCTAATTCTTCATCTGTCATTAAAAAATATGTAGGATTTTCTAACTGTTGACCTTTTCTTGTTGTTCTGTTGAGAATGTCAGTGACAGTCATGCTTTTTAATATTTCCTGAACTTTTTCATCTCGGAATACAATATATCGATCTTTACCATCTTGATCTGTAACAGACAAAACTTTATTATTTTCAGGAAAAAAAAATTATTAAACAATGGTGGACTAAATCTGATAGGAATGAAGAATACAGTCAAGTAACCTAATTTCGTGGAAACCTATTATTCGTGGATTTCCGGAAACGATTAATAATTTACATGAGCGACCTTGCGAGACCTCCGCATTAATTTGTTTTGATAAACATGGGTTTTCTGTACAATGTCAGCTAGTAGAATGAATCCAGTACTTTCAATCAAGGTAAAATGTATTAATGTATACTTTGACAATACAAAATGGCAGCTTTCAGTTATTACCAAACGTCTCAATTTTTTATCGGCCGAATTTCCTTATAATCCTACGCTGTAATCGGAATTCCAAGTGTCGTCTGCTAGAATGTAGTCCAACGAATGAAGTCACGTGATCAACTAGCGGATTCCGTGTCAGCAGAAAATTTCTATGGAACACAAAGTGGACCATATTCTTATGTTGTTTCAGTGACTTTTAGCAATAAATCACGCTACGTATCTTATTTTGTCAGTCACTATTTTTTTTTAAATCGTTTTTTGAAGGATTTGTCACTAGTTATAATGAATTGATATTAAAGATAAATACTAAGAGAAGTTAATTATACCACCCGGTATCCATACAACATGTTTTTCTCGACTTATATATGTATCAAACAATTTACACGAAAATAGGTGACGCATTCTGCCGCCGTTGCCGAGTTGGTTGCTCACGAAATATGGGTCAAAGTGAAGGATTCATCAAGAAAATCGAAATAAACCAATTTTAATTACTTTGTAGAATATCTGAGAAAACATCTAAGACATAAAAAACTTTTTTCGTTTTTTTAACTTTGACGAAATTCGGTGTCGAATCCTTATATCCACGAAAATAGGTTACACCACTGACACTGTATAAAAGAAAAAGGTCAAATGCAAGTCGTCGTAAATAATGGCAAAAAGATCAAACTTGCCAATATTCTTTGCTGTGTGGAGAGTTTTAGAACAACAAAATGATCGCAATAAAATTTCTTGTGAATGTCTTTTATATGCAAGTTTACAAATTTTTTTCAGTAAAAATGAACTTCTACTGGGCGCAGACATCTTGGAAATGTACAAAAAATGAAACACATTCGACTAAGAAAACGAATCAATAGTTAAAACCTTCTATATTTCTATTAATGTATGGGGCTTCATCTAAAACTAATAAAACGGTGTTACAATATAATACGTTGTTTTATATCGATAAGAAACTAATTTCAAATGAAGACAAAAGTAGTAAGTCTGCTCTGATATAAAAAGGAAACGAAATATTTCTTCTAAGGGGAATAACTCTTATCATTAGAAATTTGGTATTAGTACGCTAACCTATGAAATAGTGCCATTAAAAAGGATTAAATATCTATTTTATTTTAGGATTTTTGAGACATATCACACTGCACATTTTGCTTTTACTTTATTTATATCGGAACGAAATGTGACCAACGTTGTGGTATTTCAATACGAGAGAAATTTTATTTGTTTACATCGGATTAATGGGCATGTTCGTTGTGATAAGGTGTCGTTGGTTTCTAAGGTAAACTATCACTTTCAATAATATGTAAATTTCGCTTGTTTTCAGTCATTACGTACAAGAAACCAAAATGACACACAGTGGTGATTCTCTTAAATGGTCAATGCCTGGATGGCGTATAGAACAGAGGTTTGCACCAGGTGTACTGATTGGAAATTGGTCGGAAGAACGCAATATTGTAAGTTTTCTTTTGGATTTGTTAGTTTACTTTTACTTTCCACTTTTCCATTTAATAAAACTTTGTGGGCGTTTTTCGAAAATAAAAGCAGATTGAGTGGAAAAGCATGGATGGTATTCTAAGCCTTGGTGTATTGACATCAATAAAATTCTAGCCTTATTCAACTTCTAAAATTTTTTTTTCATTAATTTCAGTTTCAAAGAGGTAATAACAAGCACAACAGCACACATAGAATAGACTTTAGACAATGGAGTGGCCATCGTCCTGATGTTGTTCTTCGCCGTAATGCTATGATGAAAGCCGATGGCATTGGTGCAGAGAACATGTTTCATCACCATGGTAACCGTTATTCAAACAATATGGTGTCTTGGTATGATGAACAGTATAATGGTAGATGGCAAGAAAAACAATTACCTGAGCTTAGAAATTGGAACTTTCACAAAGTATCCTGGGTTCCTGAAAAATCAGATCATCCTTTACAGGGTAATTTTCTATTTAAACAGTTTGTTTTTTTCTTTTTATCAATTTTCATTGCAGGTTCCAGTTGTGCTTAATTCAACAAATTTGGAGCTCAAAGTTTGGACCCAAAAAAAATTGTGAATTTTCCCTATATAATCAGAAATAATTCTGTGTTCTTCTGCAAATATCTTGTACAGCAGAATAAATTTTAAATCAATTTTTAAATCGTATCAGATTCATTTTATTCACAGCTTTAATACCACTTTTTTTTTTAAGCACCATGAAAGGATAAGTAATCCACTAAGGTATACATCAGTCTCTTGTTTCTATAATTATAATTTTAGATACGGTAGCTTTTAATTTTGTTTATAGAATATATTTTTATAACATTTTAATTTCATATAGATAAACCCTAACATTAAAACCAGCCTTGGAATTAGAACCAGACCTGGATCTAGAACCCAATTCTAAAGACTTTTATCAATCTGAATGGACATAATTTCTATTTTTTACACATTAATCTCATATAAAGAAAAGTAAATTGCTATCACTCTTTAACAGTGAGTCTTAAACACTATTTCAGAAATTCTGCTAGGAAAATAACAAAGTCAGTTTTCAGAGGGAGAATGTATTTGCCATGTTTTTTAAATTTTTTGACTCACATTTGAATGTTAATACAATAATACAATGACATTTTGATAATGCTTATTAGTTTACCAGTAGAATTTTATTATTTATAATTGTAGGGATTGTGTCATTGTGATGTATTGTAGTCTTAATAGGATTAATGTTAACTTACCTATTATAGTTAGTGAAAAGATTAATGATAATGAAACTTTCATCGATATGTTAAATGAGAAAATTAATTTAAATCTTAATCCTATTATATCTTAATTCCCCTAGGGTAAACAACATGGGTGTATTTTGGGGTACAAATGGATAACATTTTGAAAATAATTTATTGTTATTTGAAGCTGCTCTATACTCCCACTTTAATTGAACTCTGTTAATATTACAGGAACATCTACTAACTATGGTTTACATTATAAACTACAAAATAAGTGGAAGGAACAGATTTGTAATGAAACTAAGGGAGATTACTTATCAACATACCAAAACTCTTTTCCAACACCACCAAAGACAGCTTTAGTCACAATGAGAAGTGCTGTTCCTCGAGAATGCTCCACTTCAGTTCATTCTATTACTAGATGTAACAAAAGCCTTGATTTAAGAAATCTTCCCTATGGTAAAGGACCAGAAATGCCAAGTAGAGGAATTACTATGGTTTCAAGCTGAGCATAGTTTTTGATCATTTGTTTATAAGAAGATACATAAGACAAAACTTTTTGGAAAGTATATAAATTTTCACAGTAGCCACAAACTACTGTAAGTTCTTTTCTCCATACAGAGCACGCTTTGTAGTATTTCTGTGGTGTTTAGTTTAGTTTACACAAAATTTGTACGGCATTATTTATGGATTTAGTGTGCTAGTCAGCTAATTGACACCCCTCAACTCTCTATTGATCTCTTCCACACATGCATACTTTTTATCAACTGACACTGTATTCATGTATATACATATGTATGATTGGAAGAGCTTATTCTAAAATTAGGGAACTTTTTGTTGCTTGTCCAATTATATCCAGTCATGATATTTTAATGTCTTTGTTTCGATTTCGAGAAGACATGTTACACTAAATAACAATTACTTGTACTTTTGTTATTGATTACTTATGTAATTAATTTTGTTCAGATGTGGTAATTTGATTTTGTAAAGCATAATTGTTAACATTCTGCTGATTTCTATTAAGATGCAATATTCAATTCAGTATTAAACTTTATCAGTATTATTATACAAGTATATAACCAAATTTCTAATGGAAATAATCTATAATAACATTAAATATTTGATTTTCTAGATAAAAATTATTTTGTTATATATTTTAAACAATTTATGAACTGTGATATTTTTTGTATGATTTATATTTTATAATTTTTACACTGTTTTTTTTTTTTGTTTTGATAAGATTTTAAGCACTGTTGTATGATTCTATGCTAGAGGAATCTGTGTTAAACTGGACATAGCTTTCGAAACAATGTTTATTTTAAGGAAAAATAGTTGTTAACTATAATATTCGTATCCAGTTACTCATTTTCCTATCACAACATTTGAAGAAGGAATCTGAAATTGTTAAAGATGTCAGACTGATATATACCAAGAAATAAACATAATATATAATTCTCTTTATTTTGACACTTTAAGTCCCTTCACACAGCTTGGAAATTGCTCTAAAATATAGTGGAATCTAGCTGTTCATATCCTCTTATTGTATTAAGCATGTCTTTGAAAAATATTAACTGTTTTAGCACAAGACATTTCATTAGCCTTTAATATGGAAATGAAATTCTTATAGGGTGAACTTATCCCCAAAATATAGCTATGATGCCACTAGGTATCTGTCAGTCATAAGGCGAAATTCAACATCTGCTAATTCGAATTGTTATCAAAAGTCAAGATCAATGATTGGCAGAACAATGAGATAACCATGAAAAGAAGTATGTATTAGTTTTCAGGAAATATTATCTGTCAGCCGACATAGTAGAAATTGTAACATCTTTATAATAATCCTGGTAACTTTGTTTTTGGATGTTTTTTTGATCACGTTCCTGTTTTTGATGTTTCTTTAATGTTACTCTTCTTTCTATTAATCCTATGTACATAATCATAGAACACAAACTCATAGTAGCAGCCACAGCATAACTCCAACGGAAACATTTTAACCCGTAACATTGTGTTATTCCTTCAATACCTATAGCATTATCATACAGCGCGCCAAACATCTGCTGTAACAACACTCCCAGAACCCCAGTTCCAACCATCATCAGACCCCAATTCATTCCAAAATATTTCATTCCAAAATATTCACTGGTTATTGTTGGTGACAAGCACCAAGTTGCTCCATTAGGAATTCCTACACCAAACACTGCCAATAGAAGAATCGGATATGAATCGCCCCAGAACACACAGACGGTCAGCACAATTGTTTGAAAAGTGGTAGTTATAAGCAGAAATGCAGATCGAGGAATCTTTATAGCGAGAAAATCAGAGGAAAATCCTGCGATTAATTTAGATACTGTTGCAGAAACTGGATTAAGCACCGTAAAAAGTGTGCTTTTATCTTCATAATGGAAGGATTTTAAATAAGTTGTGATATTGTTTATATACATCAGTTGTAAACTTGTACAAAACACTAATGGCCAAAGTATAAAATGAAAGTCAAAATTTGTTAGTAACTTTCTCCCTGTAATGTCTTCCACAACTTCATGATCCTCTGCTTCCTCGTTGTCATCATCATTGGGCAAAAGAGACCTTGATTCATCTTCACGAACATAAATCTTCAGTAATGTGATTCCAAGAAAATTTACAACCACAAAAGCTATCAAACATGTTAGAAAAAATCCTGATAAATTTTGATTTTGCTCATCATGAACATGTCCATTAACAAAAGCAACCCCATAAATTAGAGCGGTTAAAGCTGGACCAGCACTGAAAGCAGCATCGAGAATTCCTACAATTTTCCCGCGATGTTTTAATTCAACGTTCTTCATACTGGTTGCAAGACTTGACATGTAAGTAAATATCCCTCCTAACCCTGAAATGATAAGTAATGATGATTAATAGGCATTAATATAGGAAGTTTGATCCTGGTTTAATTCAATGCTCTTAACAGTGGTAATGCATAGATGTATATGTGTAGGCCTAATGACACACGGTATAGAATGTTATCAAAAGTAAATTTTGATGACATACAACAGTGTGATTTTAACTACGCCCAAGAATGATAGTATCATAAAGAACAAAAAAAAAATGGCAGTTATAGCAATTATTAAGAACGTTGGTTCTTTTCGTCATTTGCTATGGTAACATCTACAAACGGTGGCTGTGGGTTCTAATCTCGGTCGGCGTGTGAAAGTCAGATAACCTTGAACAATTCATTTCTTAACTCCACTCTACTCAGATTACCGGTATCATATATCCTTGTGAAACAATTGTTTCTTTCTTTGATACCACCAAAGTCTTGCAGAATTCTTCAACTACTGCCAATTTTATTGTAGTAACGATGCACGATCGTACGTATCCTATCATAGAAAACTTACCAATAAGAAAGAAATAAATAACTTGAAGAAAAGGATAATCATGATAAAACTCAGTAGATTTAGTGGTTGTATAGAGAAGAGTGAAGCCAGTAATTGATAATATCAGAGAGGTAAACGAAGTCCACCTTGATCCAAACTTCTCGAACACCAATCCAGCAGGAAAGCCCATAGTTAATCCCAGGTTACTGAAGGATGCCATCAATTCAACTGTAAACAAAATGATAAAGTTTACAAGCTTCAAAACTTATAGGGAAAAACATCTTTTCTATATTTCACCCAAAATTTATCGATTTGCATCAGATGCCATCAGACAAAGCGGCAACTGAGCAGACTTTTTATAAAGGGCTGTATTACCCATAAATGTAATACCCACTATAAATGTAATACCCACCATAAATGTAACAAGGGAAACACAATGATTTATGAAATAAATGCATTTGACTAGAAATTCAACGCAGTTTCGATTTTTTTTTATCGAATTCTAGGAATTGAAATATTTTCAAAAGTCTAACTATAGTGGTACATCGAATTTTTATGATTATGATAAGGGCGAAAACTAATTGAATGATGGATCAAAAATAAAAGCATAGAATCAGAATATCGATTCATAAAATCCTTACCTTGTGACTGTGTGTATCTAAAAGTTTTCTTTAAAGCATTGGAGTAAGCATTGAAGGCGAAAATGGAGCCAGCCATCGCCATACCTAGACATCCTACTGCAACAGTTATAACGAATTTCACTTTTTGCAAGTTTTGCATTTTGATTTAGCCTCTAAATTTACTTATTTCCATTAACCTACAATGGTAACCATGTCGGTAAGTTACTGATACTACTATATTTGTGATGAAACTATTCTAATCTTTCTAGTCATCCTCGATATATTATATTGTTACAGCGTTATAAAGGCCCAGTAATTTAAAGTGACTTATCAAGTGTGTAATAAAAAAGGATAATGTCAATCGATATATTGCAACAAATAGTTTCACTATTAAATCAGTGCTAAATACATCAATGTAGAGCGATATAGAAAAACCTTCATTTATTAATAAGCTACGTTCTTTATTAAAGGCGGCTGAAAAAAGTTTTTTTTACCGCGTTTCTCTGTAGCAGGTAAACCTCATAAACGGGACCGACATAATATGATATCTAATGCCAAACCAGCCAATCCAGACCCCTTGCAATTTTTAAGTTTAGTTATATTGATATTAACACATTACGCACGAAAATTATGAATGGTAGGGCCAACCATAATAAAGATGCCAATCGCTTCTTCTTTTTCCTACTGCGTATCGATAATCCTGAAAACTTTATTGTACTTATCTATTCGCATCATTCTGCAGCTCTCGATCTAATGAGGACATCAAACAGTCTACTTTAAATGTTCCCGATTCAGTCTTACAAAACTGCTGAGATGTACAGAATGTGAAAATCTCAATACACGTGCATTATGATTTCTATATTAGGTCAAGTCAAGATTCGTTCATATAAAATATGGCGACACATTTGAGTTGAACGTAGATTCATTGTTAATTAAGGTACCAATCTAGCATTTTAGGAACAGGTTTTACTTTTAAAGGACGGGTTAAAAAAGACTACTGGGTCAATCGCAATGACCGCTTCTAGAGCCTATGGATATTCCTCTTGTCCCCAAATTGAGTCAGTCCGTCCCCTATTTGTGCCCATGCCTGTAGATATCGATTGATCTTCCAACATAATTTTGGAGGAAACAGTGTACATAATATCATATACGTCGGACAATAAAAAGGTAGGTGAAATACGACTTTATAATGAAACAGGCGATTTCAAATGACACAAGATCTTTAAAATATTGTTATCTAACATGTGACCAAGTTAACTATGACTTGACACTTCAATCATTAAGCTTTCAATTTTAAAGAGACACTGGATTTACATTATGTAGATTTCAGAAAGTAATTTTGACAAGCCCAAGGATAGAATCATACGGGAAATTTTATGCGTCTATACTCAGGACAAAGGCTTTACGTCCGAGGGGGCGAAATACCTGAGGTTGCCCTCTAAGCTAGTTATGAGATTTTTGCCCGAAAAACTTCAATTTCTACCATCCATGGAACCTCTTAGTTCCGCATCTGGTTTTGCTGTCAAGGCGTATTCGTCACACGCGAAACACACGACTGCCGTTTCTTGCATGTCAGACTCTCCAGCATGAAGTTGAAAACCGAGTTGAAAAATGGATTCAGTACTATCTCACCGATGCACAGATCTAAACCACAATCCTATGGGATCAAGCGCATAATATCGCTAGATATTACCGATGCAACTAGTCTTAACTGTCCGTGATTGTAAGGTGACCATGATTATAACACTTTAGTTGGTTACAGATAAATACAAGTTGACTCTTAAAATGAAACTGAAAATCAAGTCTTGCTCCTGTGCAAAGTAGGTAACTAGATATGTTGGCTAAAAACAAGATGTTCAAGAAGCATGTCATATTTTATTAAAAGCATGCAAATTACCGGTATAACATAAGAGATCTCTTAAACAATGTCTACTTTAATTAGATAAAGTGAAATCACTTGAATAATGAAGAGAAGCTTCACATTTTTCTTATGATTTAATATTTATGTCACTGATCTTATCATTGTGAGCCTACCTTATTCTTATCAAATATATTCTTCGACCTCAATAGCACTGAACTTGATTTTAGAAAATAAATTTTAAGCCATACATAGCTGATCAATATCTATTGAACGAAAATAACAACATCTAACATAATTGCAAAATTGTAGGTAACAGATTCATAACTTGTAGTCTAACTACCTAGTTTACATGTAATAAATAGAAATATTACAATTAATAATGAAAGATATCATGAACTTTTTCCAGCATTTACATTCAATTCTGAAACAGACCTTAATCACATTATTATCATTGTTATGCTCAAATCAGCAAAATGCATAACTCCTACAACGGCGCTTTTCAGCAATCACTTGATGTTTATTTGCATTGATTATGGAAATTCATAAAATTCCCATAGAGTTGATTTTGGGCATTCAGTTGTTTATTATTTGCTTTTATTTTTTGTTTTTAGAGAGAACAGTTCAAGAAAACAGATTAACTGTACAAGATTCTCTAATTTAAAGGGTATAATTAGTATTTGATGAGTTAATGATACTTTTTACCCCAGTGAGATGAATATTTTCAACATACATGATTCAAATTTGTTAATTCTCAGCTCAGTACCTTCTTCCCAACCAATCATACTTTTTGAATTTTAAATGAGAGAATTAAATACGTTTATATAAATATAAATATGCTAAATCTCGAGGTGGTTTTTCAGATTTGGCTACTTTCTCATCATTAAAGATAGCCCACTGTCCATCTTTATATATATGACATACATAATGTCCAACACTAGTTGATGTTCCCATGTGACTTATAAATGCTACTAGTTGGTACTCTGAAATAGAAAAGCACAAAATAGTTCAGTGTAATTTTGATTTTTAAAAGAAAATGAATCTGATTAGATGATGATGCTCTGTCTCGCAGACGTTAAACAATCTGGTTTGATATTATGAACCCTGTCGGCAAAGCGATAATTTTATCTAGTGACTGTTTGTGTGACCATAAATGAAATGAACTTTCCTGCACAATTGGGCTAATGAAGACAAGGGTGCTGCCAGGACAGTGGCATAAGCCAGCTCTTTTTCGATTTCAAACTCTCAAGGAATCTATAAAGTGCACAGCCTGTAGCACGCTGGGCCTCAGTTTATTGTCCCATCTGAAAGACTAGAGGCTTTTTCCAAGTCGGCCCCTCTTAACTGCATCACTGACAGGGGAAACTGGGTTGAAAAATCTAAAGGTATTATCTACACCTATGCCGAGATACTACCTCATTCAAAACTATTCTAGTACACCTTATGACAATAGGGTGCTGTTTTAAAATTAAATACTAAGACTGAAACGTATTTCAATAATGAATTTTGTTTGAAGAATAATCACCAAATCAAGCAGTTTAACTAACTATGATCACTTTCAACCCATAAAACTTGACATATTTATAAAAATCTTACTTCCATTGCCATCTCTAAACTTTTTCTGTTGTGGATTAGATGTGGAATCTGTATTCTCAGTTTCCATGGGTTCATCTAATTCATCAGCATGACTAAATATCCAATTAGCTGCTCTTTCTATATTATTATCCTATCAAGAAAGCAAAAACCATTGACATAATATTAAGTTGAAAGGAGCAGTTTGCAAAATTTATATTACTAAAACATTAATTATACATGAAAAGATTTCTTAAATATGCTAGACACATCTATAAACATACTTGATCAACCTGAATTGGATTTGGATTTTGGTCTTTAAATGGCTTGATTGTTTTTATTTAATACCAAATAAGATTTTGTATATATTTTTGTAAAAAATGTTCATATGGTTATCTTCATTAAAGTAATTCACATCAACACAAGGATACTTACTGTAGCTTTTAAAGCCTTGATAGATTGGTCTCTAGTAAAACCCATAGCCATGATCATAGTAAGAGCTTCATCATTGGGTACAAATGTTTTATTACTGGTACTGCCAGGTAGTTGTAAGGGTACAGTGAAATCTATAAAACAATTAAACTTAATCTGAATGTTATTTCATTAGAGATTGTTATGTGTTTTCAAAGAGTCACCTATGTCTATTAGGTAGCTAATAGTGAGTGGCATATGAAAATCTTTGTGGACAGGGCTAAACAGAAATAAAATTTTAAAAGACACTGACTTGCATCACTCATTTTGAATAACTTGATATTCACAATTCTATATAAATACCCTAGGAATGACCTCTGACACAGCGGCTGTTCCCAAATATAGTCATGACATAACATTAACATCATACACTATAAACTTATTTAGAGTTCAGGGTATATAATATTTTTATATCATTTACTCTTTGTGCTCAAATGATTAATAGAACCCTATTTGAAACCCATACTTACCTGGATCTCCCATGTGTTCCATTACCCAATTCATAGCTGCTTCTACACCTTGATTCTGTGTATTATATACAGCTTTACGACAACCTTCTCTATCAAACCCCATTTCTACTAGCTGATTGACTACAGATTCATCTATATTAACCTCTATAAATAAATATTTCTATAACTATATATCTTATGCTAGTTTTTGTTTCCAAATAAAAAAAAAAGACTTTTCACATATTCTGATCCTCACATTTTTGTGTGATTTATGCAAAAGTCAATTCAGCAAAGATCCATTGATGAAAACAAAATGAAAAATTTCTAAGTTTAGCAAATTAACCAAATCGTCATAAGTTATCTATAAATTAGTTTTCCTTAAATTCCAATAATATTTCATTCAAGAAATCAAAAGAAATGGCCTTGAACACCAGTAGCAAATAAGCTTCTTATCAGCTCAAATGCTGAAGTATACTTACGTGGTGGTGCAGCTTGTACTTCAGGTAACTCTTCTTCACCAGTTTGTAAACCTTTACCTCTTAAATGACTGATATCTATTACATCAGGTACATCTACTGACATGTCTATAATAACAATAGAGATAGTTCAAATTAATCATCCATCTATAGAGTTATTAGATACCTATATAGATACAACTTAAACACTTTTCAATCAGATGTGATAACCTTATCAGTTGTTAATCATGTTAAAAGTTCTGACTAACCTAATTTTAATGGAGTCCATGTTTCATCAACAGTGAATTTCTGTAGATGTACCAGTAAATAGTCTGGGAATGAAGCAAGTCTTGTTTGCCTAAAAAAATAAATATAAATATGTTAATACTGTTCTACTGTATTATTCCTTATTAATGTCCATGGTTCAACATTTTTGGGGGTTGATTTGGACCTTGAATAGATGTAACTAATCTTCAGAAGTACTAAAACCTTATGAAAATTGTATAATCCCTCAAATTAGACCTCAAATAAAAAATTTCACTTTCTATTCAGATTTTTCACAAGCTTATTTTCTACTTGAAAAATGGGGTATCTGAAAATTGAACGCTTTGTTGATATAGTTTTTGACACCAACAGATCTTGCGTCACTGCTGTACGTAGACAAAGTGTGAGTGGATGATTGAATCTACTGTATACACATTACGTCATCAACAGATATTCAAAATAAAAAATTTCGTAAAAAGACGAATTTTTTTACTGTCAAAGCCAGATAATTATGGATACATATGGCTAAGAAAGCTCAAACTGCAACAATTAGCTGTTGATACTTTAACTGATTATGTGTGCTGAAATATTCATGTTTCTGAATAAACAAAATACAAGTTCCTCTAGCTACATTCCCTGAAATTGACCTTGCTCACACACAATTTTTTGAGATACAAATAAATATAAACTTACAATTGAGCAGTAGTCTTAGCTTGAATAGCACTGCTATAGAAATCTTCTACAAAACCTGGACTAGCAAAAGATTCTATACAGGCATTTAATGATAATTTACGTCGTACAATGTCTTTAGGATCTCTAAAAAAAAATATGAAGCATGTGATAAATTAAAATATCATGTCTGCACAATATGACCTTTTTTAAAGGCTTTTCTGACATGCACAATTTTTTTCACACCCAGTTTCAAACTTTAAATTAAGAATTTTTGTCTTAAATTTGTGAACCAATAACCATGAAGGCTCAATAACTGGAATACCCACACAGTTTTCCCTGAAGCCTGTAATTCCTTTTTCTTCTCTTCATATGCTGCTGCCTCTTCTGGAAAAGAAAAACAAACAGAAAGTAATACTTACTCATATGGTAAACATTAAACTGAATTAAAGGACTAATATTGTAATAATAGACCTTTATGCGCCTAAATATGCACACTATTTTAAAAATATGTCGAAACATAATTTTTATAGATTATCAATGGAATTAATTGCTTTTAGTCATGACTACTAGAATGCTGATCAACTTCTCAAAGCAGCCGAAATTGCTTTTGGCATAAAATTTTGAGTCAAGAAGACAGGATAAAGTAATATTGTTACAGAACATACCTTTGTTAGTAACAGCTTCAAGAGGTACAGGTAATGATAAACAGTAATCTTCTCTTCTTTTATACTGGACTTTCTTAGATTGACAACATTCTGTTCTCTCTTCTACTTCAAATCTAAAACAATCTGTAGGGTTTGCTTGACCACGACTAGACTTCTGGAATATAAGATTTCCTTTTTAAGAGTTAAAAAAGAAACCGGGTATGCTTTATCTTCCCATAGTATCATTCCAGATTAGTTTAATTTCAAATCAATCAATCAACTTCAAATGTCTACTTGGCATCATGAAGCTAAAAAAATGAAACATCCTACTTATCTGCACCCTGATTGATAAATGAAGAAGAGGTAGCCCTGCTTTGTGCCATGAGGGAAATTTTGTTAGGACACCAGCTTCAGCATACTCTTTTTTTTTGTGAAGCTAAATAAATAGAAAGAAAGGTAGGTAGATGACAAGTTAACATTCGCTTTCAGCAGATGCTGATATCGCAAACTATAAAAAGAAAGGAAAGTTTACCTCAATAGTACTAATTAAATGAAGAAAATACTCCTGAGCATCTTGTTGTCGTTTTGAAGCAAATTCTGGATGACCTCTACCTATTAATGATTTAAACATCTGTGGACGGATTCCTGTTGGAGGCTGAAAAAAAAAATCATAAAGAAATACTAATATATCAAAAATTTAATTGTATATCAGTTTACTCAGCAATTTTCCAAGAACATTTTGATGATATATTTGTTTTAAATCTAAAAAAAATTTCATAGAATCCTGTTAGAAAGAAATTTCATAACTCATTAAAATACAAATTTCCAATGGATTAACCATGATGACACAATTACAGTTTTATACAATTAAGTCATCAACATTGTAGAGCAAAGTGAAAATTCTACGTTATATTGATTATAATGTGTATACTGTATATACCTGAATATAACTGTCTTGCTGTTCAATTGGAGGTTTAGAATAATCCCCTGATAATAAACCATGACCTAATTTAGCCCTGTAATATAATATACAATGATGGATAATACTTCTATTACCAACTTTTAGAAACAACAATTGATTCAATATACATTATAATCTATTTTGATAGGGCTGTTTTTCTTTAATGTGCACTACCTGTGGCTTATAGGGCATCAACTTACTTTCCCTTTTGAACAAAGAGAATGTTTTCAATGTTAGCTTCTATAACAGGAACCACCTATTAAGCAGAGATGGGATGAAAATTTCTAAGGCACTATCACTGATCACCTTATCTCTTATTCCTTAACTCTAAACAAACAAGAAATAACTTACATCTGTACATTGAAATTATCTGGAGGATTATTATTACAGTTGTTAAATATTTCTTCTACTTTATTAGAATACCTAAAATAAACATTTCTTAAAATAAATATGATTCAGATAGTCAGTTAATAGGTTAACATAGCAAACAAAATAAAGCTTTTCGATACTGAACTCAACACTGATATACTCACTGGGAAAACAGACAAAACATCATGAAATCATAGTAAGGTTATGTTAATGTCTAACTTCCAAAACATATTTCTGCTCCACAAAAAAATCTAATGATTAATATTCTTTCTAAATAAGTTATTTCTCAATGTAAAATTCTACACTTTATTTGTGTGAAGCCGGAAAACTTTTTTTTATTTGATCTAAAACAATTTGAGATAATTAAAATAATTCTAAGGACTTACTTATTTTGAAAATCAGGAATGGTGAAAACAACTTGCATAACAGAATTCATATAACAACTGTTGCCTAGATTACGCATTCCTGTGAAGCCAGGACCATATAATGGCTGTAATTTACTACCAGATTCCTGTATCACATCCCATTCTCCTATCTTCTGATTTAAATCAATTTCTAATTCAACCATACTTTTATCAGTCTACAATTAGAATACAACTAAATCATCTCAAAATTCAGTCATAAGAAGAAACTGCAATTCTGAATACAAGCCGCTATATTGTATCTTGCACCATATTGTAATGTAAAACCATTTTATAGGAGATATTACATGGTTAAAAACATGTTACAAAGAAATGTTATCGTATGACTTTATATTTAATCTGTTTTCAGTCAAAAGTGGGTTAAAAGTTGGTAAAATTAAACTGATATGTATAATGATACCTACTTTCTTCAAGGCAGCTATATTAATACCAAAATGAGCTAAATGTTTTGCTAAATGTGGATCTTCTACCATTTCATCTTCATCATATGAATAAACATCTAAAACAAAATTTTATGAATATCAAACTGTAGGACTACAATTCTAATGCAGAATCTATTCAAATGTTTCCGGCCTAACTAATGATTATTTTAGCAAAAAAGTAAGAGCCTCACCTCCCCCAGCTGCAGTGATTGTTCCTAATTTAACAGCTAGTGGAAATCTAGTTTGTTCATAAGCTTCTACAGCATGATTATTGCCACCACTTCCATCAAAAAATTTACGTCCACATAAAATACTTCCATCTGTTAAATTTAACCATAAATTGGTTGTCAAATCACAGCGTTCACATTTCCAACCTTTGGGTGGTATCTTTTTACCATTATCTAACTGTTTTAAATTGTCAGCATGTCTGAAATGTTTAAAAACTGTGTGATGTTTTGTGTTAATAATTAAAACTCCAATTAAGCTTCCAATATTGTTTTTTTTTTCATTAGTTGGATTAAGACAAAGATTGGGTTCTTCATGTCAAATTTTGACATATTACTTGTTTATTACCATATCAGATTGAGAACTATTTTAAGTAAGATTTTCATCTTTATTTGCTATTTAGATATTTCATAGAACATTTGGAAACATATTGTACTAATGGGATTGAGAATGTTAACATTTCAGCTTAGATCAATGAATAGAAATATTTACTTGGAAACTCTTAGTTTTTCACCCTCCCAAGTGCAAGCCATTGCAGCAGCTTCTTCCATCTTCCAGGCATCTTCAGCGGTTAATATGGTAGCTGCTGATAATTGCACCTAGAAAGATGATAAGATTATTATCCATGTTAACATAGTGCATAATCATATTAGCTTATCTTGAGTTTGAGGCAACATCAAACCAAATACATGAAGTCTATATTCCTAATGATTGTACAGTACATTAATTCCTACATAAATTCCAATTTCAAATTAGACACCTACCAGATCAGGTAACTCAGTATTAGGAAAAGGTATAACTGTCCAATTAGGTAATACAACTATACTTGTCTCTTCTTCAAATCTATAACTTTTGTCATCTACATGAAACCCGCCTTCAACTCCTAAAAAAAAAAGAAATGTTATTCATTCCTCATATCATATACTTTCAGATTACCTTGGCAAAAAAAAAAAACGTTGGTGTAAACCATCTTACAGCATGCAAAGGACATGTAGTCGGCTGATGAGTTGAGAATGAAATTCATTTAATGGAAATACCCAAAAACCTACCAATAGCCATCTTGGTTGGCTTCTTTTCAGGAGGTTGATCATCCTTAGGTATCTAAAAGAAAGAATTCATGATAATAGGTACATAGCTTTATAAAGATAATGATTAATCCTGGTCTTCTTTTTCAGTAACTCTTAATTCCCAGATTATGCAAAAGCTTATTAATAATATCCATAATAATGGAAAATTGAAACCTCTTTATCCAGACCAGTAGTCTCACAGTCCTTTTACAACCTCTTTATATCTGAGATATTGGTAGTTTTTTTATGACTATTTCAAATGAGTACCTCTATTCTTCGACGCTTGAGATTCAGATACACTTGATTTCCTGTCTTTTTCCAATGTCTTTCCACATGACTCTTTCCTAAACCAAGGAAAGTATTCATACAAATGTATAATCCATTTTCACTTTCCTACAAAACATGAATTGGCTATATTATCATATCACTTCATTTGGGGAAAGGGTCTTAGCTTTGAGTAATTTTGAGTTGGGAAATTAGACACACCAAATAAATAATAATTGAACTCGATTTCCTAAAGAACAAATCATTATGTAATATAAACAAATGATGTCCTTACTGGGTTGTCGAATGAATATGCACATTCATCCTTATAAACCTTCTCTCCACCGAGCGGACATTTGATTTTTCCAATGTTTTGTTGTATTACATCCATTTTCGCTTTTCACGCCGGAAAGAGGGGAAGTTGATGAGAGTTGTCTGCTCTAAAACGTCGGCCAATAGCAAATAGTGTCACAAATTGTAACCTGGTATTTCATTGGTCAAAGCGGGAACTTCGAAAGGGACGCATTCTCCACAAACACGAAGAACAAGAACATCTTTAGCCTATCAACAAATAGGTTATTGTAATTTTTTACATATTTTTTCTGCCTTAATATTCTAGCATGTGTAAGCCTATAACTCTGCTAAGAAATTAACATCAAACTCACTTTGCCAAGATACGAACATCAAACTCACTCATGGTTATTCACGTACGGTAGTGTTTTGGTCAGTCAGCAATAGACTGCCAACTGTGGAGGTGCAACTTATAAGTGATTACTGGGCCTCCTCTTGATTTTACACCCATCATATTAGTGCTTATTTGTCTGTCTTATGTTTTACTAATCTGTTTAATTGACATATGAAATTTAAGAAAATGCCCCTGTTGTGTTGTGCACTTGTGTAGCATCCTCTAGTTCAGTCTGTGCTGTGTTATTTTGTACTCTAAATTTTTTTAATTTATTGTCATGTCACTGCAAGTGCAAAATTTGAATTGAAGGCCTATCTGAACCATGGTTCATGAATAAGCTTATACCTTATATAGATATCTCTTATATAATTTTTTATTTCATTGGTTGACTACTTAAGAAGACTCAAGATGGGATCACTTAATAGTAAATCTGATAACTTAGCCTCCACACCAATGAAAGGTGCTGTTGGGGGAATGAGACATTTGGATGTTGACCCCAGATCACCTGGTTTAGATAGAACACCAATTGTTGTTGATAAAACTCCTGATTTAAATCTTGGGATTGGTATATTAGACCCACGATCACCCACTGCTGGTATTGTTAGAACACCTATAGTCAATGTCTTAAATGGTAAGAGAATAAGCCTCGGTCTATATGGGTCTTATGAGTTCTATTTCAGTGTTGTGTCATTGCTCTATCAGTTCTTTCTATTTTTCAACTGGAATGAAATAAGGCATAGATGTGTTAAGTAGATCGAAACTAATAAATCTCTGTTCCACTGTTTCTCAGACATGTCAGCAACATGATAATAGGCTTAAACCTTACCGGTACCTAATATTTGTAGCTTTGGTTACAAAAGATAATTTTGTTTTTAGATAAAGGAGAAGGTGGAGAAGATAGTTTGTTGATAAATAATAGTCATGTTGGTAATAAGATGAATTTTGAGGGTTCAGATGAGAGTGGACGTGTTAGTGATCTCAGTGGATCAACAGAACTAAACTCACTATCATTATCAGATGTTGATGAATGCTCAAATTTACTAAGTGTCAAAGGTACGGTAGTTTGGCTTTTTATGCCCCCATCTTACTATGTAAGCTTAAACATTGTAGAATCTTCAGATACTTGCTGTGCACATGTTTTGTTATTTCCAAATCTGTATCATTACTTGCGTCATTCAAAATGATTCAATTGGTACAAAAATTCTGAGCATGATTTGTGTTATTATATTTTAACATGTAAGTTTAATTGTGATTCTTTATTTTAAGATGAAAACTCCAAAAAGTCAAAGACAAAAAATCAAGCAAAACCCAAACAGTTATTCCCAGCTATGAAGAGAACAGTTCTTATGAAAAACGATATCCCAAGATCACCCCTGGCCAATGTACCACTTGACTCTAATTCACCCCGAAACATTGTACAACGTAAACACATAAAAAAAATAGACACTGCCAGATCTTGTAGATTAGATTCCAACTTTTGTCCATTAGCAGACAAGGAAAACATGTAGACAGCAATTATGACTTAAGCTAGTGGACATTTGAGTGAAAAAAAAAATACCAGAATCCATTTTTCAGTTTATTTTATTATTTTGATTTTGGTGCCTTTTTGAACTAAACAGACATTTCCTGTGGTCTGTTTTTCAAATTCTAGTGACAGTATGTGTGAAAGATAATTTATGTTGAAATAATATTACTATGATTTTGATTGAAAGTTTAGAAAGAATGATTATAACACATGATTTTTTGTGGAGTGTTTTCTGTTTATATTTTTAAAATCATTTCAAATATGAAATTTAGTGGAATATTGGTCAGACGTGTCAATACAGAATATCATATTGTTTGTTACAAATCAATTTTCCATTGCTTATTGTGTTTCTGTCAGAGATATATAGTTATACCATTTCTAGACTTATTAGCTGTCCTTTCATACCAGTACTGCTTATACAGTATTTGGAGTAAATATTAAATCTATGTCTCTATGTCTTATTTCTCCTGTCTGTATGAAACCTCTTTCTCTCTCTCTATAGTGCTAGTATTTGTGTAATCCATTGTAAATATAGTAATGGTATAATATATTTGGTACAATTTCAAATATCTATATTTAAGTGCAATAAATAGATGAGTGCATTTCCAAAGTTTTGTTTTGTCTGTAAAGCATGCATTTAGTACTCTTTCAAATATGTGAGTCTTTTCACCTGTAATCTATAAAAAAAAAAATCTCAAATTGTCTATGTAATCTGGTTCCTGCAATTCCACTAATTCGACTTCACTTACCGCAAAGGAACTTTTATGATGGTGCATATTTTGCGATTAGTAAGGACATCAAAATCTTAGTTTTAGTTGAATTGCTGAAAGCACAGACTTCTGATTGAAAATTGGAATGGTACAAATTGATGCTACCAGTATCACATAAAAAATTTACAAAACCTCTTAACAATCTCTTTAAGAGCTTCAGTGTTCAAACAATATGACAAAATTGTTCAAAACTTTGTAGGAAAAGTCATGGTACAAAAAAAATATAAATCTTTAATATGGATAAATTACAATAACAGACATGTTCATGGAAACAGCAGTCAAACTATTGCACAGTTTCCCTATTGAGATCCAACAAGTGATATATTTTGGCAAGAGTATCATTATATTGGTAAATTTTATCATGATTCATCATGCAAAAAACATTCAAGCTCATTCCCCTCTTCTGCAACAATTCATACAAATAGAAAGCGTAAGAAATACAATTTCAAACCAAATTTAAATCAATTTGAAAAGCTTGAGAGAAGATCTCTTGTCAATTAGTCATAGTTGTTTTGCCATTTATGAAATGCACACATTTTAACGCACTGTTTTCACGTGATTAAAGAATCCTCATCACTATTAATATTGATCTCTCTGTTTTTCACTACAAACATCTCAGAAATTTCTTCAACAGTCTTGCCCTTTGTTTCTGGTAGCATGATGAAAGTAAAAATCCAAAATCCCACTAACATGGCAGCAAATGGAAGGAATGAGTATTCATTGATGGCATTCTGAAATAACAAGGATTCCAATTTGTTTAACATATTTTTCAGGTAACTGATTTTGTTTTTGCTCCTTTGTCAAAAATGTTTCACCATCATCATAAAGAAGGGCAGTTGTTTGCCTTTCAAAAATAAAAGGTTTAGTTTTATTCATTTAGATAATTTCACTTTCAACTGATGAAAATGAATTCGGTTTATCATTCCACTTTTCTGCATCTGTTTGGGCTGATTAGTACAGATTCAAATGCAAGAAGATTGTTAAGACTTTTAACAAAATACACCAGGACACATTTTGAAGTTGTAACCCACAGTTAGGTATGGATAGTTGTTCTAAGGGATAAAGCAAAAGCGTGTCTTGTGAAGAACCTTCTTAACATGCACATGAATCCACGGTGGTTAACAAAATGCTATCTCTATCTTATGATTAAACTATTTTAGTACGAGGGGTTGTATTCAAAAGCTCTATAATACTGACCTGTAGAATAGGAAAAACAAAACCTACAATACAATTAGCAGCCCAGTTAACTAATACAGCTACACTGACAGCTGCTGTACGAGGTCCTTGAGTAAATAGTTCTGCTACAATAAACCATGGTATAGAACCTGGAAAGACAATGTTGGATGTTCGAATCGCTGAAAAGTGAAGTGGGTCAAGACAACTAAAGTTCTATAAAATTCAATTGATATTCTCTAACATTATCTAAAATTGTGATCCAATAGACTTCGTGCAGCCAAAAATAATGGCATTGTACGATACCATAATAAATTTCAACTGCTAAAGTGGATCACTTGAAAGCAAAATATAATCTTACCTGGTCCTGATGCAAAGGATACAATATAAAATACTACAGCAGGTATACATACAAATGATAACCAGTGATCTTGAGGCTAAAAAATAAATCTACTAGTATTAGTTGATGCTATAGCAAAAAAATTTTTGGGTAGAATTTTTATGTTTTCTTTTTTTTCCTCTCTTACTTCACTTTGATATTTTCTGGGTCCAAAATTATACCATCCCTTTGCCAAGCTATTTCAGACCATGGCAGGATAAAACACTCATCATAAACTATGTTCAAACAAAAAGAATATCAAAACCTTAGACTACCTGATATATTCTAGAAACTGTAAGAACAATGGTAAAAATAAACATTCCACCTAAACCAAGAAGATGTAAGCTCCTTCGACCCAACTTATCCATTAAAAACGCTGATACAAACGTCATGAGTATGTTAACTACACCAACACCAACTGTGGCATATGAAGCCTTGTCTTTATCTAGACCAGCTGATGTAAATATACTAGTAGAGTAATAAATTACCTGAAAAATTAGGTTTGTACTTAATATTAGGTAATTCAAATACAGTATTCAATTATAAATTCCATTAAGTAACCTGAATGCTGAAAAAGGAAGCCTCTAGTCATTTAGACAGGGCAATAAACCGAGGCCCCATACATATGCCACTGTCTGTGTACGTTAAAGATCCCTTGACAGTTGCCAAAATCAATAAGGTTGCTACAAATTAATAAAAAGTTTTGGAACCTACCGCATTAATGCCTGAGAATTGTTGAGATAATTGTAAAACTATACTGATTATAAATGGAATTCTTAATTCATGTGTCTTTATCAAATCACTTATAAAAAACTGAAATAAATAAGTAGATAACTTGAAAGCTGTTCAATCTTGATTTCATCCATTTACATAAGCACGCCAGATTCCCTCTAAATCAAAAGAAAACTGTAAAGATTGTGCTACTGAGGAATGTTAATGGATAACCACAATAGACATTAATATTTTCATAGATATAAAGAGTACCTTCTTATGATGTTTTTGTTCTTCTGCTTCTACTCTCATTTCTCTGATCTCATCTTCTACATCATCTGAATTCCGCAGCCATTTTAATGCTACAAAATATTTAAATCAAAGATATAGTAAAGTTTAAAGTTTGACATAGTCTTCACTGTTCACTGAGCTTAGACTAATAATAAATTCCAAAACACAAATAAGTAAGGATAACGATAAATGCATGAGAACCACTCCACACCACATCACCATAGTCCATAAGTATTAAATAAATCCTTCATTAAACTAATATGCACTTCAATGAAAAAAAAATAACTATCATAAAAACAAATTGATCCAGCTATATGCCTCAACTGCAAGTATCTACAATACAATTTCAAAGATACCTTACAAACCTTTTGTTGCTTCAAATTCGTTTTGTTTTGTTAACATCAAATATCTTGGACTCTCTACACACATAGACAATACACATAGTTGATATATAACTGGTACAATTGTTAATGCTATAGTATAAATATATATAACATTTTATTCATATAGCTGATATATAACTAAAAATACCTGGAATGAGATACTAATTTATTTTTCAATTTTCATGTCAATGCAATAGGTCAAATATTATTAGAAAATTATAGTTTGAACGGATTAATGTCCAGAAACAAATTAAATATATCCAAATTTCTGCTTGAGGGGGATGTAACAATGAAGTTTGTGAGATTTACAAAATTAGGACTACCGGTACCAAATTCTCAAGGATAAGAGAAGCAAAATAAAAAAGGTAATCTTACCCAATAATAAAGGCCAGTATTTTTCTGTACCCAATATAAATTTTAAACCTAACAGTTGAGATACCATGACACCAAAAGTAATAGATAACTGATTAAAAGTTCCAGAAAACCCCCTCAATTCAATTGGTGCTATTTCTGATAAATACAATGGAGCTACACCTGTATTAATACCTGTAAACACAAAAAAATATTAATGAGTTTGTAAAGCAGTTAGTTAGCTCTCTAACCAATAAAGGGTGTGTTAAAAGCTTTTCGAAGCATTTTATGTTCATCAGGGACGCTAAGAGCATTGATGTGTACAATTCTAATTTTCAGCCAGACTTATGTGAGTCTTACAATTCTACTATAACCTTAGATATTATTAGTAGCTTTAACAAAAGGTCATGAACTTTTCAGCATGAAAATACAGATCTAACAGAAAAATGGACTGATGCAATAAAAACCTACAAAACCTCTTTACGATCCAAATATTTAATCCAGTTTCATAGTATTGTTTAATTCAGGAAATAGTATGTCCAATTTGATATTATTAAAGTAGTACACATGAGAAACATTAGCCTCAGCATTTATGACATGAGTTTCACTTCTTTTTTTTTACTTCTATCATACTGACCAGAAACAAATACATACTGACCTGCATTGATACCACAAATAAATCGTCCTACCATTAACATTTCATAAGAATCAGCCATTTTAGAGAAACCTAATAAACCAGCAGCTATGACAGCTATTATGTTATTTCTTAATAGAGCACCACGTCTACAAATTAAGTAACTTTGTTAATAATTTGAAATATTTTGTTCAAAAACTTAATCTAAGCAATAATTGGATACAATTTTTTCTTCCTATACTTTATCAATTGATGATCATATAAAACAGTTTTAATTTAGATAATCAAAATTCAGGCATCTAATATATCTGTGAAAATTCAGAATATGGTAAATTCAGATAAAGTTTGATTAGTGATGAACTCAGATACTTCAAGAATACATTGTGCCCATAAGGCCACAGTTTATCAAGCAACTCTAAAATATATCAAACAAATCATAGAAATTTACCTGCCAAATTTGTTACCCCAATATCCAGCACTGACCCCTCCAACCATTCCACCTACAGCATACATAGCAACTGTCAAAGCCCATAACAACGTTAATAAACTATCTGTTATTTCTTTGCCTTCTTTTTTATAATAAGTTACATTATAGAAATCTTTCATTACCTACAATAATATTCAAGTATATTGGCCAGATGAATCAAGAAAATGGGTGAAAAACACTTGAATTTAGAAACTTGAATTTTCTTGTATCTTTATCATTGGAAATGTCATATGTAAAATTAGCCTATCCATCAAAAATTGTGAATTTCAACAAAGCTAGAGTAAATGAATTAAATGACAAACTTTGATTAATGATATTTTTGAAAACTAGAATTGATATATAAATCAAAAAGTCTAACCGTTTCAGGTGAATTAACAACTCCTGTGTTATAACCAAACTGGAATGATGATCCTAGGGTACATGCTACTATAGATAATACCAAATGACCTGTGAAGCCCTGAAAAAAAATCCAATAAATTTTTGTTTTGTTTATACCGGTATTTATAAAATAGATCTTTCCTCCTTGAAAAACACTGGCTTGCATTGGCATTGGGTCAGAAACTAAAGAAATAATTTTAATTAAACCATATTTGGCTGCTGTAACATCGGTTATCATTGATTCAGTTGATTTTGATCATTACTACCATCAACTATGTTAAAAAAATGTGATATAGTGGTCTGGTAAGAGCTAGTGATAAGCCATGAGGTCTTTATCAGAAATAATATTCACAACTGAATTGATTATAAGTGATGAAAGTCGAGTGGATTAGGAAAAGCCAATTGAACTTTTACCCCATAAAATAAAGCAAAGGAAAGGCAGAACAGGGCACTTCCAGTTGAATGAATAGTCCGAAACATATGCCTCTATTCCAGCCTCAGAAGGATATTTTGACAGATATCAGCTGGAGTAGAGTCAGAAGAAAAAGGCCCTGTTAAATTTGGATTTTCCACACCTCAAAATATCCTCTCTTACAAAATATTAAATTACCTTTAAGATGATTGTAAATTAGTGTGGGCATCATCTTAACTTTTCGTTGTTAGTATCACGTGACTCTATGACCTTTGAACTTTTTGGCTTCACATGTAGTTTTAAATGGCCGATGCTAGATCAGTTTCCCCCCCCAAAAAAAAACTTTGATGGAACCTGAGAAAATGTAAAGAGAAAATGATGGTATGACAGAACAACAAAAACATTCATCTTTCCAGATATAACCAGGTTTTGATGATCCGAGGTATCTAAATAGGTTTAAAATCATTGCAACTGCAGAGATGTGAATGTCCCCATTTAACAGGGCTTATATTTCTGTCTAACATCTGTCCAAGTAGCTATCAGAGACTGGAAATGGAATAGAGACAGACAGATGTTTCGGTCTACCGGTTGAAGAGCATCTATAATGTTGAAAATAAGCTAAAACTGAAGAGCATGTTTCAAACCATATTGAATTTAAGATAGAAGCCAATTACCCTCTTCTTCTTCTTGTTTGTATCACTTGCTTGAATGTCATTCTCTGCTTCAGAAACGCTGTAGCTATACAGCAGCGGTTCATTTTCATTTTCAACATCCACCATCTTGAACTATTTGTTTTGATCACATGACTTTCATGTGACCTTTACCTTCACTGGACATTCGAGACATTACCAAATTGCCCAGTTGGATTTTGACTACCAAATCAGACAAAAATATTATCAAACATTTTAACATAAACATTATATTTATTTTCTCTGCTCAATAAGACAACATTTCATATTTATTCGAGGTTTTTCAAAATCTTGCCGAGGCTTATGGAAGAAATTGGAAAGAACTTCCTTGTCCGCATTTTTTTGACAGATGACTTTCATGTATGACAAAAACACAAAACGATATTATGGAATATAACACACTTCTTTAATAAGGTTTCATGTAATGAGAGAAAAGTCACGAATTTGGAAATGTACACAAAATTTATTCATGCATTAACTAAAATAACACTTTTTTCTATTGAGTTAAAGAGCAGAAGCATACTTTATGAACATGAAAATTTTCATCATATAGTTAGAATCGATGTGAAAAAAGTATCATTAGACAACGGAATTGATTTAACCAGGAATTCATTTTTAGACTTTAACAGACATTAAAAATTCAAACTTCAGTATTGGCAACAAAAAAAATAGATATCCGACATTTAGCTCCCGTTTCCATAAATGATCGCTAGAAGCCCACAGTAAAGCAAGCATCAAGGCTAACATGAACGGACTTTGGTGTGTGCAAGGGCTTTTTTCGGACTGTTACAGCAATTCAATTTTCGATATTGGTCATTAATAATCTGCAAATTTGTGCTACTGCTTTGATTTTTTCTGCCACGTTTCTAGTAACTGTTCGTTGTTTATTGAGCGAAAGTTTACCCACAACATGGCGTGCCTACAAGCTGTTACCTTTAATATAGAAACAGAATGAGGAATCCCTAAAATCAATACCCCTTTTTAACATGGCTGCCACCATGATAGTTTGGCGAAAAGCACTTATTAGTTTTTTACTTTTATTTATTAATATTTATCTTTTAAATTGTGAAAATGAAGGAAAAACTCATAGTGGGAACGCATTTAATGATATTGATATACATGGAAGTAAGTTGAACAGTGTGATAAACTTTTTAATGTGGCTGATGAAATAGTTCACTTCTCAGTTGACTTCGTGTTTCTTCAAAGATACAGTGTTTCAACACCATAATTTGACCTACATCCATCAGCTTATGTAGTACATAATGTAGATAAAGTGCCTAAGCATTGAATGCACCACTGAATTACAAAATGTGCCATACATATGAATCCGAAGAAGCACTCTGTTTTAAGAGGGTATTACATGAAAATTACAACAAATGCGACATAATGTTAGTCTATGTTGCTTTGCTACAAAGCTATGCATGTGTTTATAACATATATTTTATACCAAATGTATAGCAGTGTAATATTATTCTATGTCATATTGCTACCTAGCTATGTATGTATTTATAACATATATTTTATTACAAATGCAGTATAATATTAGTCTATGTCATATTGCTACATAGCTATGCATGTATTTATAACATACTATATTTCATACCACATGCAATATTATATAGTTCTATGTTGCATTGCTTTATTTATAACATACCAAATACATTATAATATCGTTATTAAGTCAATTATCTGTAGGGTATCAGTAACGTTTATTGATTGGATTATTATTCGGTGTATTAAAATATATTTAAGATCTATATAATAGGTCTATAACATTCATACAGTTTAGTGGCATGATTCTTTTGTCAATGTAATAATTACATGTGTATATTATATATATTGTTCTCAGATTTTTCAAGAAAATAGCAAAATTATTGTGTGACCTTGTCGGTCTATGATCTTGATGATACAGGGCCCATCCCCCGGGGAATGTTTTTAACATATGTTCTCCTGCATTTTTTTCTGAGGGTGGTGGACTTGGGTTAACCAATCCCTATGGTAGTTTAGCCACTGCAAATATCGGCGTAAAGAGTTCCATGAGTGATGCCAAAACCATACAAAAGGTTGTTAAATTTTTGTCCTGTTATTTATTTCAGTTATGCAGGATTATAAGAAATATAAAGCTATGAGGGTTGTAAGTAGTGGAGAATTTTATATGGGTATCAACGATCCTAAATCTCAAACTGGAGAACATCCACTCAGAAAAATCAAATATAAAAGTTTTTACATTGATTCTTACCCAGTTACTAATGCTGAATATTGGTACGTATTTTCTCCGACACATCATTCAATAGATAAAGGTAATTAACAGAGAAATGAAATATAGCTGATATTTGTTTGGCATTCGTATATGGTGTACGTTAGTGGTCATTATAAGATTTGGTTGAGAGTGGAGAATGCACCTTGTATTCCATTCTTATTCCTCTTTTTAGTTCTTGCGTTATTTTATTTAAAGGGAATTTAGACGTATGAAATGGAGATACAGAGCAACAAGTGAGAAGAAAGGATGGAGTTGGGTTTTAAGTAGTTTTGTACCAGATGATGTTAAAGAAAAGTTTGCGTCACCTGGTTCAGGTGGATGGTTGGCTGTTAAAAACGCTAGGTGGAATCAGGTAAGCTATACTACAGAATGTTAGTCGTGCAGTATGCATTCTCAGAGAATTTAATGTCTTGGCCGCCCAATGCACTTGTCTTGAGCACTTCATTGCTGCAGTTTCCTGGGGTGTCTATTGCGTCACATTTTATAACCCGTGACTCCATGATGTATGAAAGTATCTGACGTTACTAATTATTTACCTCTTCAGCCTTTTGGTCCCGGCAGTGATTTACACGAGAAATGGAACCACCCTGTGACTCATGTTAGCTATGATGATGCCAGGATTTATTGTAACTATAGAGGACACCGTCTACCAACAGAAATAGAATGGGAAGCTGCTGCTAGAGGAACTGGAGTAGGTTAGTATAATTCTTTCATCTGCTTTACCACAAAATCATCTTTAATTCACAAGATAGTGTTTCCCCCCATGCATTCGTGTATCTGTTGTTTTATACGCGGATAGAGCGCATTTCAAGATGAACTTCATTATGTCGATAGCTCGAGTGCATTTTGATTAATAATAACCTCGAGTAAAGCGTGCACCGACACTTTTCACCTTTATTGTATACTTAGCTTAAAAGATCTTACAATGTGATTCGTACTACAAATGCTATGAAAGTGACAGTGATTTTATTTATTATACAGCTGAAGATTATCCATGGGGCAATATGTGGGAAAAGTTCCGTATGAATGAATGGCAGGTAAGCTATTTTGAATGCTCATAATGATATCTAAGAACTGTATTCAGAGAAATACTACACCTTATGACCATTCTACACAGAAACAACTAGTCTGAAAACACATTGTTCACTTGTGTTTGTATAAAGAACCAATCTGACAAAGGCACGTTCTCTTTTGATTGGAAACTACTGCCAAATGTTGCACCATCCGACGGAGACTATTCTTGCCAATCTGCATACAAAAAAATAGTGATTATTTTGGAATTATTATATGTAATATATTTGTAATCGATTACTATTTCAGGGTGGATTTCCTGAGGGTAATTTAAAATTAGATGGTTATGAAAGTACATCACCAGTAGATGCCTATTATCCACAGAACCATAATTGTACGTTTCTTATCCTAGCTTTTAAGCAAAACCCTGCCTTTAGTAATCTGGATGGACAGTAAAGAAAGACAGAACCTTAATTACAAAAAACTTTGTGCTATTCTGGTCAATAAGAAGTGCGGAAACGCTGTGGAAGCGCAATGGGCGAAAGCTTTCCTAAGAGGGTCAGAAGAGTTAATAATAATTGATTTGGTGAATTCTGTTACCTATTTTGGGCAAAAAATGAAATGAAGTCGGGGTCAAACAATTTCTCTTAGGGGCGAGTCCGAAGGTTTCACCACTGGCGATGCCACTGAATGGTCTTGATAAGAATGTACAATATGTTTACAGATATGTATGATTTTCTTGGTAATGTATGGGAATGGACAGGAACACAATATTACGAAAGAATGATACCAGATGACCTTCAGCCCCAGATGCTTGTGTTAAAAGGGGGATCGTATATTGACAGTAGAGATGGCAGTGTTAACATGAAAATAAGAACAAGTCAAAGGTTTGTAGCCCTACTATATTAACGACGCGTATATAGCAAATGAAAACATGTTTTGTTTATACGATTTCGGTTGGTCTATCTTTAAAATGGCAGACTGATTTTTGTTGGAGAAAGTTTGTATCTGGAGCTGGATGAATTCAATTGTTTATCACATTTTGAGATTTTGTGTGAAAAGAAAGAGATCATCGATGATGACCCAAACAAAAAGGAAAGTTGCTTACTAGTGTTTTTCTGGAACTAGGCATTTAAAGCGTAGAATATGATACCTTTTTTTTATATAAAATTTGGTTATTTATATTTCAGAAAAGGTGAAGAACCTGATCATACTGCAGGTAATGTTGGCTTTCGATGTGCTATGAATGCTCACCATTTTGATATTGGTGATGCTCAACAACAACGTAAATCAGAACCCAAAGAACCAGCTAAACCTAAAGTTTATCGCACCCCTAAAGCTAAGCCCAAGGAAAAAGAAGCAGAAAAGAACGAAGATGGAAAGAATTTTGGACCACCACAAATGGGAGTTCATCCAAAAAATCCTCATCAGGAATTATGATTTAGCATCATTTTAGATTTTAGAATATTTTGAATGCATTTTATTTCGGTCAATCTACTTAATTTATTTCATTGTGTGTGTTTTTATAAATAAATGTACGATATTTACAATATACAAAACAATTTTAAATTTCAACATGAATATTTTAAAACCTGCATGGATTGGAAAAATTATTTTCAGAGAACATGTTCCCCTCGCAAAACATGTCAAGTGCATAATAAAGTTGCCGTGCACGGTGAGTTAGTATACAGAATCGAGATACCTTATCATGGAGAATTGCTCAGTGGTTGAGATAGGGCGCAGAGATCACTTATCTGTCCTTTGGATGGGTGACAATATCACTAATCTGTGGTTGACATGGGTGACGAGGTCACTATAATCTTTGAATGAGATGGGTGACGAGATCACTAATCTGTGAATAAGATGGGTGACGAAATCACTTATATTTGGATGAGATTAGAGTAACGAGATCACCAATCTGTGAATGAGATGGGTGACGAGATCACTAATCTGTGAATGAGATGGGCGGCGAGATCCCTGCTCTGTGTATGAGATGGGTGACGCGATCACTGACCTGTAGGTAGGATTAGAGTAACGAGATCACTTTTCCGTGGATGAGATGGTTGACAAGATCATTAATTTGTGGGTAAGATTAGAGTAACGAGATCACTTATCTGTGGATGTCTGTCTCGCAGGATATCAGTTGACATGAATGTCCTTGATCCACTGCGAATAAAATTGTTTAAAAGTGAAATTGTTTTCTATTATTTGACGTTTCCACACATGACTTCCACCATTTCAAACGCAGTATGCGGCATTTTCTGCTTGGCAATATTGTAGGCAACCTTGAATGAGGCTTGCAATGCTGGTTTCTGAATTTCTTTTTGCGGAACTCGCCCTCAGCATGTGATGACTTGTCTTCATGCTGTCATTCCACATAAAAAACACTGCGGTTTTTGATTTCCATCATAATCACAGAGAAAGGTAAATCCAAACTTCACATACTTTTTCGGTGGCATTGCAAATGTCTTTTCTTGATTGAGAGAGGCGTCTTTGCTACACACTCTAATTGAGAGTAAGGTCTCCGTCACATGTTTACTGGCGTGTGAAGGAGAAACAATCGCTAATTGACTGCATACAATGCACGTGCTGTCATAAAACATTCACACCAAAGTCAATTTTCCTGGAAGAATCTTAAATTAAACGCCGAAGTCGACCTGTCTACTGGTGCACCTGTAGTGAGAGGACCGTGAACTAGCACTAGGTTGGCTCAATGATCGTGGGAGAAACATGCACCAGAAGTACTGGAACCATATTATAATATAAAAAAAAAAACAAAGTTGTATACAAAAAAATAATTTTCGGGCGATATGACAGAGTCTAAT